GCCTTGCTTTGTCCTTTGGCCCTGCTGGCTAAGGGACTCTTGGGACCTATAAGCTAGAGCTCAGTCTAAGCTGAGGGCAGTAAACCCAGACCCTCCAGGGTAAGCAGATAGACAAGGGAAGGCTGCCAGGCAGGGACCAGCTCAGAGACCACAGGATTTCTGTTCAGAGGTCGTGGTGTTGGTTCTGACATGGAGGCCAGATCAGTGGTAGGAGCTAGACCATGTGAGGCCAATTTAGTGGTGGGAGCTAGACCATGTGAGGCCAGTTTAGTGGTGGGAGCTAGACCATGTGAGGCCAGATCAGTGGTGGGAGCTAGACCATGCTGGGGAACACATGGTTTTCAATCACAGGTACACAAATCAAAAGAGGAAATAAAACAGCAAACTCATCACACAAGGGACACTACAGCAAGGTCAGCAGCAGGCTGCCCGCTGGTGCCTTTGGATCTGAATAGTTCTAATTGTCTTGTGTGTCAGAGGAGTAGGAAAGCGCCTTCCTAGTGTTTAGCTGCTAGTCTCTGTAGTGTAGCAACTGAGGTTGCGGGAGGAAGACACATCCCAAGCCTCCTCCTCCTCATCTCTTATGGAAGGCTCATAGGTAAGGGATTAGGAGTGCCTATCCTAATTTAACCGTTGCTAAGGTTAAATGACATCATTACATTAAAAGCACAAGACATGTAGTTAGCCTTTGTTGACACTATCTGTGGCTACAATGAATTAGGGGCAGGTCTTTTCAGAGTGAAGTGAATCCCACTCAGTAGGATTCCAAACTGAAGAGCTCATCACCGCAATCTTCAGGTCGTACAAGTTTACTCTTTTTCTTCTTAGTAATTTTGTGGCATGAGGGATGGAACCCAGGACTTTGCATATACTAGACAGGCATTTTACCATTAACCTACACAAGTCCTTTTGATTTTTATTTAGAGACAGGACCTAAGTTACTCAGGCTAGCTTTGAACTTGTGAATCTCCTGCCTCAATCTCCCTTGTAGACAAATTCATTATATGTTTGTATGTATGTATATATATAATATAAAATATAGTAATTGGCAAACTAAATGAGAATCAAGTTGTGATCTATAATTTTTTTTAAACAGAAATGATTCCCAAAGACAGAGGGAAAACACCTTTGTCAGATGAGGTTGCTCTTTTGGGGGAATAGAAAACAGAAAACAGACAGTAAACGGAAATAGCTCAGGAACGCGTTGTACCCAGACTTCTCTAGCCCATGCTCTGACACGGCTCAGCCAAGGAGCAAACAAGCGATTTCTAGTGGAGCTCTGCCGTGGGGACTTACAGCCTTCAGGGTGAGCCACTGCCAGCTGTGTGGCCCAGGGCACACACTTAACTCAGGGGCCACCGGTATCCCAACTGCAGAAATGGGAAGCATCTCAACACTGGCTGCAGGCAGGAGAGTCAGGGTAAAGTCTAGAAGGAACTTGGGACCTTGTAGACACTCAACAGGCAGTGGCTTCCATGACTTCCCTTGAAGGTCCTCCTTATAGGTTCACTGCTTGCTCCTTAGCTGTGGAAGGAGCTGGCCAACCTTTCTTTCACACCCCAGCTGTGATCATGGGTCACCCTTCACAAAACCCTGGTTTTATACCATGCAATGAGTTCCATCCAGTCCATTCTGCACAAGAACCATTACTGTCAAAACGGGTCAATGTCCAGTACACATATTTGCAAACTGTTCCCATTAGAGAAAAATAGTACAGTGTCCACACTGTCCCGTGAGTGCAGAGGCCTCCAGTCAGAGCTCATCAGAGTCCTGGTGGACAACCCATCTTCTCTGACCGATCCAGCCTTCTCTGTCCTGTTGTCACTTGACAGTGGAGATGAAGCTGTTGTAACCACTTGACCTTAGAGGAAGCTCTTAAGGAAGAGATGGCTGGAAGTCTCAGTGTGTGGCAGAACGATGGCTTACAAGGGAAGGACAAACAGCGGAGTCTGGGAACTGCCGACAAATGGTCTTACAGATCTTGACTCAGCTGCACTGGTTCAAGGGAAAACCAAAGAAGCCTGCAGCTGTGAGCCGTCCTCTTCTGTGTCTTTGGAGGGTAGCAACCATCCTCCAGGGGTCCCTGGATTCCTGTGCTCCCAGTAGCATCACAGTCCTCTGCCCGCTGGATTGTCCATCACCCCAGGATTGATGGAAAGACCCATTTTACAGAGAGAGAAAACAGAGGTCCAGACACAATAATTCATCCAAGGTCAACCAACTAGTAAGAGGCACACGTGCTGTGACAAATCATTGAGAACAGTCTTTGTACAGGAAGGATTGGGCCCATGACACTCTTGGGCATCTCAGGGTGACCTGATGACAATGAAGCCAGTGTCATCCTTCTCCAAGCCGCTAGTGCTTGCCACACCTGGGTCAGGTGGCATTTTGCCCTTGCTTTCACGGCTGCCATCTGGACTTGGTGTGGGATACCTGTAGCCTAAGTTACCGTGGGAGATGTGACCTTGGGTGAGCGTCTTTGCCTCTCTAAGCTTTAGCAGGAATAAAGCTAATCATTTCCTGAGTTCCCTAAGCTTCATTAAAATTTGTATCCTTTTATCATTTTTTTTTTTGTATTAAGAACCCTGTGAGGTAGAATGTGCCATTGTCCCCATTTAACAGATGAGGAAACACTAATAATGAAATCCCAAGCCTCCTGAGGTAATGGGCTTCCAGCCCAGTACTCTTTGGTGGCCTTTGCCAGGGACAAGGGTCAGCATACATTCTGAAGGGCCACATGGTGGCTGCACTAAGAAGCTTTCTGGCCTACAGTACCCGTTGCAACCCAGCTCTGCAATGCTAACACAAGAGTAGCCACAGTCCACATGAGAGTGTAGCTATGTTTTGTCCAATCACATTCAAACCGGCCATGGAGAGCATCTGGCCTATGGACAGTACCTTCCTGTGGACAGTAGCTAGTCTGTGAACTACAACTTACATCTAGCCTGTGGGTAGCATATGTCCTGTAGATGGCATCTAGACTGTAACTTTAGTTTGCTGGTCCTTGACCTACACGGACAGCTTTTCCTCCATGGGCAATCCTGTTAAAAATGCCCCATCTCTTCCTTCCTCCTAAGTACCCGAGCTCAAGTCTGGATGGCTGACATAAGGAACCAGGAAGATAGTGGCATCTGTGGATACAGCACAGGCAAGGTAATTTATGGATCTCTATCAATCAGTGAAGTGACAGTATACTGACCACAGGGACAGAGTTGGTGTCAAGCTGGCAATTAAAGTGGTCACAGTCCCCGGGGCAAGGAGAAAGGAGTGTGGGAGCATGCCAGTAGGGGCAACTGGGATTAAGACCACAGGGTCCAGACTCTGTTTTGAGGGTTCATCTCCAGCTCTTACTGAGGATACAAACACCAGGAGAAGTAGGGGCAGAGACCTGTTCAAAGACAAGTTGGAGAAGAAACTGACATTGTCTATGGGTAGGATGTGGCTACTAAGATCTAGATTGCTTGGGGCCTGTAGCTGAGCTTGGATGGGGAGTCAGCAAAATGACTCCCTGAAAGAGGAGTTAGGACATCCCCCTCCAGCTGGTAACCTGTTCTAGGAATCTTTGAACAGAAACAGAATGTGACAGTTCAGCCCTGGATGAGGCCACTAGGCAGAAAAAGAAGGAGGAGGAGGAAGAGGAGGAAGAAAAAGAGGAGGAGAAGGAGGAGGAGGAGGAGGAAAAAGAAAAAGGAGGAGGAAGAGGAGAAGAAAAGAGAGAAAGAAAGAAAAGAGAGAGAAAGAAAAGAAAAGCATTTAATTCAGCAGATGCGTACTATGTGCCAAACTCTGGGGATGGCACATGCCCCAAGCCTGTCACCGTTTACAAGTGAAACAAGTATGTGCACAGAATATTCACAGAAACACAGCCACGAACGACTGGGGGCAGAGGAGGGTTCAGACTGCTCAAGAGGACCTTTTGTGAAAATCTGATACAAAAGAATCACTTTGGCACTCTTGCCACAAAAGGCTCCCAGCAGGCTCTCAGAAGCACCAACCTCTGGTCCTCCCTGGAGCACACCTGCACCTGAGGACTCATTTTCCCCGAGAAATGCTTCAGACTTCCCAGAAGAAAAGAGGCTCTTGCTAACCAACTCGTTTTAAAGGGGGATATTATCTTGTGCGTTCAAGGTCCTCACCAGAAAGTGGAGCAGATTAAGGAGGGAAGCCCTTGTCTGAATGAGTAATTGCAGCCTTAGAGGAAGTGAGGAGCTACAAAAGCCCTGAAGAGATGGTTGTCAGGAACTAAATGCTAGCACTGGAGGTTGAGTTTTAAAAAACCCCAGGCTCAGAAAGATAGTAAAAATGCATCGAATCATCTGTCAGCTTACAGCTTTAGTGTATATTCCGTCTTCTCTGTCAGTGCATTAGAGGGCAGAGAAGAGAAGCTGCTCCGGGAATCCGGTCAACTGCTGAGGTGTGACTACACATACACCTCTGTGCTCTTCCGCGATTAAAATTCCACTTCCTGAAAAGTAACTCCAGGGGTGGTGCTCTGTGCCAGTGCGGGGACTCCTCTGGTCCCCTGCACAGTCTACAGTTTTGAATGGAGCCCTATCCAAGTGTTAACAAAAGCATAAAATCCATTACTCACAAATCTAAAAAAGTTACCATAAAGCTCAGAGGAAAACACATCCAGGAACTAATGAGTTGAAAAATTAGTTTTAAAAACAGTAAGACTAAGCTGGGCATGGTGACTCATGCCTTTTATCCCAGCACTCAGGAGGGAGAGACAGGAGGATCTCCGTGAGTTCGAGGCCAGCCTGCTCTACAAGAGCTAGTTCCAGGATAGCCAGGGCTACACAGAGAAACCCTGTCTCAAGTCTCACAAAAATCAATAATAATAACAATAATAATAATAAAATGACTTACCAGACAGTTTTGGAAAGTATATTAAGATAAAAAAAAAAACAATTGGCACAGATTAACTGTCTAATTCCTAAGTGCACTTCGTAATGTTCCTAGCAAGCTGCCTCTTCCCAGGAAGATAATGACAAATGGCAAAAAGCTTCGGTCAGGTGTCACTGGATTCTGGTGACTTTTGTATGTTTTTGTTTTGCTTTATTGCATTGCCAAGAGTAGAGTTTTAAGAAAAAACACTACAAAGGTTTCAAAAACCCTATTTATTCTCTATCATCAAAAATAGCAACAGGGGGCTTTATACAACTTTTCTGTGAGTACCCACCAGTCTGTTTTTTTTATTTTTTCTTAAAAAAAATAGAAGTTAGATAAAGAAAAATGATTTGGTTTTTTTTTTCTTAAAAAATAATGTAAGGAAACACTTAATCAGATAGCCCAAGGAGTCATCAGAAATGCGTGTAGCAAGAAAGCTTCGTTTGCGGCCCTGTCCGGCCTGCACGTCTTGATACTAAACTAGAAAGAGACTGTACAGTACCAGTGTTCCCCAACCTGCCTGGATCAAATTGTTTGTTTTTATACCCATTATTGCTAAGCCAGAGTGTTGACGCTGGAGCCAGGAGTCCACTCATAGAGGATAGAATTGAGAGGCTGCTTCTGAGGACTGGATCTCCACCTGGGCCATCTTGAACTGGGTGCACTGCAGCCATTTGCGGAGGGCAGCTAGGCTAGCACTGCTCTGGCCCGAGCCGGGCAGCGTCCTTAGGCTGTGGTGGTTCACGTTGTTCTGGATGGCCTGGAGACGAAGCTGGAGGCCGGCGGATAAGTGCTGTTGAGAAAGAGGGACCGTTCAGTTCTTTCCACTGAGTGCGTGAGTCAGGTGGGGATGGGCATGGCGGCTGGTCGGCAGGTAGAACGCAGACCTGGCCTGAGAAAAGCCTTCAGATCTGACAGTGCTGGGGGTGGAGGGGAATAGGGGCAGCATGAGCCTGCTCTGTGCTGCTACAGTTATCCTGGCCCAACTCCATCCAGATAATGACGAGCTCATGTTCACTCACTGCGACGGGAACATGGAGCTGATGCCCAGCACCTGGTCCTGAGCAGCCACTCATATCCAGCCCAGCGGCCTGGTACAGTGGTTAGCACTCGGCTCTCTAAAGGAAGGTTCCTATTTCAAATTCCAGTCCCCCAGGGAAGCTGTGGGACAGGGTCTGGTAAGTTTTTGTCCCAGGTAAGGTGGGGACATATTTATTTCAGGGGCTCCATAAGACAAGTGAGTTAACAGATTTTCTAGAAGGTGAGCTGATCCATTGCAGGTGCTCAGTACATATTTATATTATAAGGGTCTTTCTGTGTCTATGACAGTTGACACTGAGAGGCCATGACAAATGCCTCCCTTCCCGGCTCCTCACCAAGCCCTCCTGGCCAGTCCTTGGTACTTTGTGAAATTGCCACAGATTGCCACAAATCAGATGAACTGTGGGACTGACAGTTTGGAATGCCTCAGGCAGGAGGGCTAGCGGCTCATTTTGATCATAAAAACTGGAACTGAAGTAGGTTCTAATGGTCCCTAAGTCCCTGCCCTGCCGGCCACCACTAGCTAGTCAGGATGCAAAGGCTGCTAGCAGTTGCCCTGCTGGCTTTTGATGGCCCAGGGGTCTTGAGTCCACACCCCTCTCCTTCCATCAGTATGGCTTCCCATCCTGGGGAAGGAGAACCAGCAAGAATGTGGCCGCCCTCTTCCCCTCCCCCACAATCCAGGGGCAATAGACAGACACCAGTTGTGGACAGTGCATTTTTGTTTGGCTCTGCAGTTAATTGCCAAGTCCCACTATATTTGTCACTAAGGTGTATATGTCAAAGTGTCACCACCAGTGAGACGTGCAATTGGGAAGTACATTCACTTGGGGGCCCCCTTCCAGGATTTGGGACCCTATCCAAGTCACTGTTTTTTATGGTTTTAAATTTCCTCATATGTAAAATGAAGAAAGTGGGTTCTTTCTAGTCTAATTCTGCCATTCATTCAGTGCTATCCTTTCTTGCTGGAATTCTCTCCATCCCAGAAAAAATCAATTTGGTTTATCAGATGACATCACCAAGTGTGCTTGGACCAGACTCCATGGTTATCCTCCTAAAATAGAGTTTGTCATGGATGGGCTGAACCTGCTCAGACCTAGTGTAGAGCTCTTCCACCCCTGCATCTTCATCCACAGTGAGCAGTGGGACCAGGGCTCCTAGTGACGCCCTCTGCAGGTCCCTTACCTGCCACAGGTGTCCAGTATTATCAGCCCATGAGACCCGAGTAGGCCAAAACTGTTCTTTCTCTATAGCCAAGGGAGTAGCAGTGTCCCCTTACAGATGCACTGAGGGGCTCTGGAGGAAGCAGAGCTCCAGGCAGCCCAGGGGATGGCTTACCTTGGTATTTGACTGAATCATTGGCAACCACATAGGGATCAGCTGTATGGAGAGAGACAGGAGGCCGGTTATTGCTGTCTCCCACTCCCCCACATATGCTTCCATTAGCGCACAGGAACACAGGCTGCACTGAGCACACTCAGCACCACAAGAGATTATGTCTGCCACACAGGCTGCACCGAGCACTCAGCACCACAAGAGATTGTGTCTGCCATAGAGCCGCTGCTATCAGCGGTGTCACTGAGATGGCAACATCTGGAGGCTAATAAGCACCCAGTAAATGCTTAAAACACACAATTTAGAGTGAATGACTGATGGTCTCTTGAAAGCTACCAAGCATGGGAAATTAACTGTATTTATTTAATTAAATCCCCACTTTCTTGAAATGGGATTTCCTTGTCAGGATCTTTAGTGCCACAGCTCTGGGAGAAAGGGCGACTAGATTTGCCTACATAAGAGTACCCTAGGACAGTGTGCACAATACCACTAAGGTACAGAGTGTGTCCACAGCAGGAAAAAGAGAGAACTGGAGGAGCCTGATTTGGAGTGGGAAGTAAGACTAGACCCACACACAGCTCCCAGGAGCGTGCAGGGAGGAGAGCAGGAGGGATGTATGAGGGGCCGGGGCAGGTTCACAGGAAAGCCCTGGAGAGAGTTGAGAAGGCAAGGTGGAGCTGGGAATGTTTAAGGTGCCCACAGCGTTCCTCTCTGCTGTGCTCTGAAGTGTCCCTTCCTTGGGGGGTCATGCAACTCCATGCTGCCTCCACAGCAGCTCCCTGCTCTCTGCTTTGACCTCTTGGTCACACTTCAGTCTATTAAAATGTGAGTAAATGTTCATAGCCTCGTAAATCTGGAAGTCAGGAGCAGGACATAACGTCCATTTTCTGACGTGTCCCCCCAACTCTCATTGGTGACATGCAAATGGGGCAAGAAATGACAATCCAGTAGGCTTGGGAATGTTGGTGCCTTCATACACAGATAGGCATTGTGACACTTCACTCTGTGCTCCTCCTAACTGTCACTCCAACACAGCTGTCGGGCTGTTACAGGTTAAATCATATTTCCACAAAATCTGCATTGCTGTTTTAGTCCACAGTGGCTCAGAATGTGGCCTTATCTGGAAATGATACTGTTGAGTCAGTTAAGATGGGGTCACACAGGCCAACACAGCTGGCATCCTTATGAAGAGGGGAGACTGGACACAGATACACGGGAAGAACACTATGAAGAGATGGAAGCAGAGGGCCGCAAGCCAAGGAATGCCAAAGATCTGCCGAAGGCTGGGAGAGAGGCAGGAAGATGCCCTCTCTGTCCCCAGAAAGAGCCAGCCCCGTTGGTACCTTGTTCTCAGCCCTCCAGTCTCCAGAACTGAGGAAGCAAACACTTCTGATATTTAAGTCGCCCAGCCTAGGTTCTCACCACGGTGGCCCCGACAAAGGGTACAAAGTGCTTGGCAAAGGGACAAAGCATGGATGCTGTGTGAGTGCGCAGAGCGATAAGGGATGGGAGGGGCTCGTGGGTGCCCAGGGGAAAGATTCTTAGGATAAAGTCATGGAAAAGAGGTTTAGAAAACAAAGGCCAAGCAAACCTCCATGAACCCACAAACAACCTTAGATGTCCCATTAGGGGATTTGGGCCTTATTCCAAATTCAGAATGCCTCCCAGAGAGGGGCAGAGTGACAAACCATTCACCATAAGCAGAACTAGGATGGAGACAGTTGAAGGAAGATGAGGAAAGACATGGAAATTGGAGTCAGGGTCCAATGTGGAGATTGCTTGGTGGCTCAGGTAAGCCAGGAGTAGTTTCTGAGCATGCAGAGAGTCTGCTTGCAGGGGCAGCCTGCAGTGGTCTGCAGAGACATTCTGACTGCACAGGCAATGTGGAGTATCTGAAGATGAAGTTGCTCTTCCACGTGGCTGAAGTTTTCAGGGCAAACTGGAGAGGGGAGAGCTGCACAGAGACAATGAGAAAAAAGAACTGCAGCAGAGACAGCAAACTACAGATCCACAAAGGGTCTCCCTGCACTTCAGCTGAAAACTGACCAGCGCACAGCAATAGAAACAACACCAGAATGGAAGAAAAATGATGCAAAGTGCTGCAGGGAAACAACCCTGGCTGGTCACACAGAGCAAGAAGAGGTTGTGCTCACTGGCTGGTGGGAAGTGTTTATATCACAGAACAAGTACCCATAAGATGGGTGCTGTCTCACATGGTGCTACTCTTCTGAAGAGATACAGTCACGGAAGGCTCTGTTAGAAGTGAAAGGAGCGTTGCATTTCTTTCTAAATGCTGTACTCTGAAAGATAAGCTCCCGGCTCAATTAACAAATCTAAAAAGCAAGCCTAGAAAAGGTTAAAAGACTTGTGAGTAATTTAATTATGTCACTGAATGAGCTCAAGAAGCTACAAATGAATAGAAAAACAGACAGCACCCAAATCCACAATGTCAAGAATTCAATTTAAAAAAATCCACCAGACAAGGCAAGCAAAGAAATAGGAAAGTGACCCCCAAGTGAAGAGAGCAGTCATCAGAAGACAGACCAAAACGACACAGACAGGAGGATCAGCAGAAGGATAGAGAAAGAATCTTACACCTATTTTTAATTTAAAGAAGGAAGACAACAATTAAATGAAGGAATTTTACATGACTTTGGATTAGACAAAGACTTTCTAGAATTGCAACATCAAAAGGATAAAGGGAAAGAATGAGAATTGGACATGGCGGTTCATGCCTGTGGTCTCAGCACTGAGAGGATCAGGAGTCCAAAACCAGCCTTGGGCACACAGTAGGTCTAAGACCAGCCTTGGACACACAGTAGGTCTAAGACCAGCCTTGGGTACACAGTAGGTCTAAGACCAGCATTGGGTACACAGTAGGTCTAAGACCAGCATTGGGTACACAGTAGGTCTAAGACCAGCCTTGGGCATGCAGTAGGTCTAAGACCAGCCTTGGGCATGCAGTAGGTCTAAGGCAGCTTTGGGTATGCAATAAGTCTAAGGCCAGCATTGGACAAACAGTAAGTTTAAGGCCAGCCTTAGGTACACATGTCTAAGGCAGCCTTGGGTACACAGTAAGTCTAAGCACAGCCTTGGCTGTATAAAACACTGTCTACAGAGAGAAATAGAAAAGGTAGGAGAGGGAGGAAGACATTTGATTAATGATACTTTAACAAAATAAAAAAACTTTTATGCTGTCTAGACAATAAAAGGAAAAAAAATCCTTGAGACCACTTTCTGACCAAGGTTTTGTATCTCTCAACTCAATAATGAAAACAAACAAACAAACAAACCTCAACCCAATGAAATATAGGCAGATAATTAAGAGACACTTCACAGAGCAGATACACACATAGCAAACATGCAAATGAAAAGACATCAGCATCATCTGTCAGTAAAGAAATACAATTTAAACCACAGCAAGATACTAACACCCAACTCCCAAAATAACTAATGATAGAAACTGGCTACACCATATAACATATGCATGTACGGACTGCTATGATGATAATTGCTATACACTAATAAAAGTTTTACTATATTAAGTGCCATGGAGGAACTAGAATGCTCTTTGCAGCTAAAGTGAAGCTAACAGACACACTCTCACCAGGTCCTCCTCACTCTAATCTGACATCATACTCTGCTGCTTCTGGAAAGATGACGAAGGCTTGAATCATCCTCTTGTCCACTCACTTCTCATGTACTTAAAATATCAACACACGAGACTAACAATGTCAGGGAGAGCAGCAGGGGGCAAGTCAAGCAACTGCACAGTCACTTCTTTGGTTTTCTGGGTGGCTTTTGCCAAGTGAGGCACCACCACCTGGATTGCATGGTCATAGGGCTGTTTCCAAAGCAGTGTTCCCCTGTCTATTTTAACTCCTGCGTTACGCGCAGCCATGCTCTGATATGGAAGAATGCATCACAGCGTACAGTGAGACCAGACAGGGCATGATAGCCACTTAGTAAGGTGTTGTGAAGCCATATTCTCCAGCCCCAACTGTACATGTTTAAACTGAACCCATTCTGTTTCCCTCTTTAGATCACAATTCAAAACATATCCATATTTATTTTAGCAATATAAAATGATCTATAAATATCACAAGTTGTTCCTACCTTGACAAAAATGGTTGAATTGCATTCTTGCAATGCCTCCATTAAGCTAATCACATGGAGACACACCATTTCTACCATCTGAAACAACAAACATCAAAGTCAATCCCACTCCCGGGGAACAAGAAACCCTGTAAACCTGTGATCAGCCACAGAGGACTGGTGCCCTGCGTCCAGGAGGTCTTCCTGCCTAACGACTGGAGACCACAGAGAGGCTTCCATTCACCTCCAAAACCTGGCACCAGAAACAGACTTTGCAAAGAGCCGAAGGCTTCCTCCCTCAGCAGATGCTGCTGAAGCCCAGAGGTGGCTGACTTACAGGGCACCATGACTCCCACTGGAAGACCCGCGGGCGGCATCAGCATCACCCTCAGGACCTTCAGGGTCGATCTCTTTCTCCATCTTGATCCATTCTCCACTCACAGGAATGTCTCCCAGGGAGTGGCTCAGTATACTACAGATCTGCCTCGCAGGTCTGAACCCCTGGGGCGCAGATAGCCATACTTGCACCAGTTCAGACAAGATTGTGTCCCTCCTTGGAAATCCTTAGGGATGGATTTTTTTTTTAAGATTTATTTATTATGTATACAACATTCTGCCTACATGTATGCCTGCAGGCCCGAAGAGGATGACAGATCTCATTACAGATGGTTGAGAGCCACCATATGGTTGCTGGGAATTGAACTCAGGACCTCTGGAAGAGCAGCCGGTGCTCTTATCCTCTGAGCCATCTCTCCAGCACCCTTAGGGATGGATTTTAAATTAAATTACTAGAATGTTTTACCGGGCTGAATAAACTTTCCAGAAAAAAATAAATTAAAATTCATATGTAATATTATATGTTTGGGGACATGCTCGTTTGTAACATTTGAGTGACAGGACGAAAGCGTTGACACCAGCATGCTGACACCGAATGAACACGCTAATCTCCAGCATAACGTGTAAAGCTCCAGTTTTGGTGTCTCCAGAATAACTTAACACCTGATCGCTGAGCTTGTGTTTGGTCTCAGAACTGTGACTGACCCAATAAATGCAATCATCTCCTGAGGCCCAGGAACTGTTTCCAAACCCTGACATGAGCATAACCTTCCTTTACTGAACCAAACATCCTTCCCTGTGTAAAACTGGGCTACCTCCTTCTCCAGAGAAATGCGAGTGTTTCAATAAAAAAAATACACAGTCCTCCTTCCTAACAAAATGCTAGCAGGAAATACTCCTCACTGAAGACACATGTCTGAATACCTCTGTGGCCAGGTGGGATGTGTTTGCCCTGCACCAGTAGAGCCTGGCAGCTGCTCCTTTAGCTGAGAATCCTTCAAACACCAAATGAACCCCAGGATCTCTCAGAAATAGCTCCCACACACCTCCAACTGGTTCCAGGAGGACCATCCAAGTTTGTTTAATGAAATGGGTACAGGCTAAGCATTCTCCAGATGTCTCTGGTGTAATCTGGAACAGATCCTCTCTTGGCTTTGAGACTCAGGTAGAATGACCTCCCATAGTTAGTCTGCTCTCACACTATGCCAGAAAGACTATCTCATGGCAGAAGTTTACACATATGGTTTTTGAATCCAAACCTGACATGGGTTTTCTCCTAATTGTTTGTCTTTATACCATCTTAATGGTAGAAATCTCACATGGAGTTCATTTAGCTCTAGGTAGAAGAGCTAAAATTTGTTTGCTTTGCATTTGGTTGTTTTTTAAATATCATGACCTACAATATGTTTCTTTGATATAAAGGCATGGCTAAATAACACTTAACACACACAAATTATTATGTTGCATACTTGTGGGCTTATGACTAGGAGTGGCTTACATATTTTGATTTTTTTTTCTTTGTGTAGCTCAGAAGGCTCTTCACAAACTCACCACTTTGTTGTGAGCCATCAGCTGAAGGATGCTGGGTGTCACCCTACTCCAAAATTCCAGTGCTGTTAGTATTGCTGTGAAGCTGAACTCGTTCTGATTCTGGACGTTTGTCGCCACGGCACTTTGTTCGCAGTACACCGTCCAGAGCTGAGCAAAGATGAAAGCATGGAAGAGGGAGCACATGTGGAGCACACAGGTCTGGAAAGGAAGAGGATGTGTGTTGCTCTGTGCTCACAGCAGGTGGCCATGCCCAGGAGCACAGAAGCACAGAGGCGTGAGCACAGACACAGACTCCTGGTTCCTCGAATTGGCTCCTCTCTGCCAGTGCAAGAGTGCTTGGAGCCTCTTTTCCAGGAGGATGCGCCTAAATTTGCAGAGGAAATCTACCCACTGCCTCGTCCTTTTAGGAGACTGACATTTGCATCCCTAAGCTGGGTTAGGAAAACAGTCATTCTATTTTGCCGTGGTAGTGTGTTTCCACATCTATAAAACAGGGATAATAATAAGATGAAGAACTGAAGCTGAGGAAGGTTAAACAACTTTTTCAAGTTCACAAAGGTCATGGGGAGCAAAGGACATTCTGACTGACTGAAGTCTTCAGCCAATGTGTGCTTTTGGCATGGGCACGGCAATGCCAAGCAACATAGCTTCAGACCCATGGGAAACTGGCAAAGCCTCCCCCTGCTGTGAGGCTCAGAGGGATGACAGCTTCTGCTCAGTGTGCAGGTATACACACAACATCCTTGTCCCAGATGTTGAGAGGCTCAAGACTGCTCTCCTTGCAGAGACTGCTCCCCTTGCAGAGACTGCTCCTATGAGATTAGCTAAACCGGCCTCTTTGTCCATCTGTATACCACAAACCTGCCCGTACACAACACAGATAGCTGTTCTGTCGTTTATCTGTACCTAATAACCACACCTCCGTGTTCAGCTGTAGGCAATAACCAGCCCCTCTGTCCAACTCTGGACACTGCACTTCTGGGCAGTTGAGGTTTCTCTATCAGATAGTCCTGACTGTCCGATCCCAACTTCTCGGTGTAAACTATCTTTTCTTAATCCTCCCACTGCCCGGTCAGGTCAAGTCCCTTGAGCCACACAAGGATGGGGCTCAAAGGTACAAGTACCTTCCTTAAGGATGCAACACAGGTCTGGGTGGACCAGTTCCTTTTGTAAGTGTCATGTGGGTCACTCGGTGGGCACCCTGATTTTCTCACAGAGCTTGCTCTGGCCTAAATCTAAGCATCTCATAAACCCCCTGGAACCTCCTAGAGTTTGCCTAAGCTCTGGGACTGGCCTTTGGCTCCTGGGAGATGACTTGGGGTGTCATAACTTGGATCTGCCTGGGTTTTCCTTTATTCCCTTGAGGCCGCTATGTGTCTCTGCAGTTGTGGGTGATTCCAGTGTGCTTCTCTGAGCACCACGCTAGCCGTATTCCCATGCTGTGCGTTCATGTGTCCTAAGGGATCTGAGTTGAAAAGATAGCGCACAAAGAATGAGACGGGGCATACATCCTATGCCCCCGCCCTGATTCATCCTTGGTTCAGAGCACAGAATTCTTATTGAATGTGTAACCTGTTATTTTTCTATATTGTTTTGAGACAAAAAATGCCTGAGAAACTAACTCTTCCTTGACTCTATAATTTATCTCCATAAAAGTAAGCCAGGAAACAGTTTCAGGGGAGAAAAGGACAGCCTGGGGATTTAAACAACTTTAAGGAAGGCATTAGCAGAGTTCTTTCCCAGCAGCAGCAGGAGGGTGAGCTGAACCTCCTTCACTTCTCAGAAGAAACTAATTGGCTGATAAGGGTCTCCATTAGCAATTCCAATGCACTGAGTCTGAACCTGCAGAAATCACTTACCTTTGATTGCTCTGGAAATCCAATTAGGATAACAATAAGGTGGTCTGCGATGTGGGATCCTGCATCCAGAGGTATTGGAAGGCAGGGGGAGGAGGCATTGGGACAGACCGCATTATGGGTGAGGGACCCCAGGAGCAGCCAGGACAGCAGCCGGATGTGGGAGACACACTCGATGAATTCTTTAGGTCTGTCAGGAAAGAAAGGACGCATGGAGGGTGACTTTATGTTTTCTCTTTCCTTCAATGCCCAGCGGACATTTACTGGAGGAAGGGATGTGGTTTTACGGGCAAGTACACAAAACGCTGAGGCAAGAGTCTTAGCTATTTGTCTTGCTTTCTGCTCTAATCCCGGATTTCCACTTCAGGAAGGAGCAGCTTAGGTGGGACAAGATTCAGTATCCTTCAGTCAGCCTGGCTGTCTCCCTTTCTGAATCCTTTCTTTCTTCTCATCAGGAAGTCCTCCCCTGGCATCCTCTCAAGGGAGAAAGGGGCACAGAGCTCCTCTCTTGCTGGCCACTCCCACAGATCTTCCCCACAGCCATGAGCTCCAGCTAAACCCCAGGGATTCTGGGGCACTTCTGCTCATTGCCCCCGCTCTACCACCATTAAATGTATTCTTTGTGTGTGGGTGCTTTGCCTCCACGTGTGTCTGTACACGATGTATGTGCAGGGCACACAAAAGCCAGAAGAGGGTGTCAGATCTCCCGGGACTGGAGTTACAGACAGCTGTGTGCCGCCATGTGTGTGCTGGGAATCGAATCCAGGTCCTGTGGAAAAGCAGCCAGTGCTCTTCTTCATGGGGCTCTCTCTCCCAGTCCCCTCCCCTTTAAAAGTAAGAAGAGTCTCACCCTTGCTGCATGGCGGAAGGAGGGTGGTAGAGCCAAGGCAGATAGCGGACCACAGCCTTGTTATCTCTATGGTTGCCCCGGGAGATTTCCATAGCTGCAATCTGAGCCAGGCCAACTTTGAGATGACCACCGAACGTGTCCTCATGCAGAGGCTGGGAGCATGTCTTCATGTGGCTCTGTAAAGTCCAAGGACACTTCGAAGGTCAGGTCGTTCCCATAGCACCCGATAGCACTCTGGGCACACAACCCACTTAACTTCTTAAATGGTTTCCCTCTGTTTTTAGGCTAAGAGCTGGGGATGGGAGTGAGGCAGGATGGGGCCAATGCGACCAACCTGTGGCCTATAGAGTCAGAGTGCCTACTGTCCAGGCCTCGGCATCATCCCCCTTCCTCCATTCTGGGCTCTGTTGCGTCAGCTCTGCTGTCCCACCCCAACTCCTCCATCTGAAACACCGCTCCTCTTTGCTGAATTGTTCAAATTTAGCTCAAGTATCACTTCCCTTAGAAAGCCTTCCCTGAACTTCCTGGCCAGGTCCATGCTACTGTCTACTGTGTCTTTACAGCAATTGTAAAAGCCACAGTTTTGTTTCAGCTTATGTGAAATATTCACCAAATCTGGTCTCCTAGCAGACTCTAAACAGCACGAGGACAGCTCCCGTGTCTGTATCTGTTGTTTGCCCATCAATGCAATCCTAATGCCTACAACAATGCAGGTGTAATACAGACACCCAATATATATTTGCTAAGTTGCTCAGGGACTTGAGACATAGGTTCTACTCCTAGTAGCCGATGACCACGGGTAAGCCAACTGGCACTCTGGCCACAGTTCTCTGCAACTGTCCCCTTCCACAGACACAGTCACCTAGAGACATTGTCCAGAGTCCCAGCTAACAGACTTCCCAGAGCCAGGAGCCCTCATCTGGGAGAAGAGACTACATCAAAGCAGGTATTGGTGGTCACAACCCCCACCCCTTCCTTCCCTGCCTCCTGCCTGGGAATCAGAGACCCTGGTTGCATTGTATGCTTGTGTCTCCATCCTCAGAGAGGTGGCCCACTTCTGCAATGTAGGCTCTGAGTCCTCTCTTCAGGGGTTCCACCATGCAATGTTTCTTTGGTGCTAGGTCCTAAACTTTCTTTAGAGCAACTGCCATGCTTTTGTCTGTCTGTCTGCCTGACTATAGTGTTAGTGTTCTACTAAACTTTTTCTTCCCATGAGTTCATCTGAGCACCTCTCTAAAAGCTCTCATCCCAAACCTTGTAGCTGCTTGAGGGTTGTGATCTGCTCCCTAACTTGAATTAGCGGTCAGAGGGTTGGATTTATCATCTTTTCAACTATCACTGGTGTTAGGGAACGTTTTTCCAGAAGCTTCTGTAAAACAAGCTCAAAATGTTTAGATAACAGTTGCCGCCTCTTCTTGTATTAAAGTCATTTAAGTTCATGTGACCAGACTCAGTGATTGGAGATCAGCATATGACTAAAGGACAGGGACGCTCACTCTAAAATGGCTGGGTTTAGACGTGGTACTTTCTATCCCTTGTCTTTGCTCTTCTCCCCATCACCATAGCGAGAAACACCCTAGCTGCCTGAGCAGAACGCTAAGATGGAGCCTAGTGAAGAAGCCACGTTCTCGGCTGGTGCTTTGTCACTCTCTGGACGGTGCTGGGCTTCCCATCTGCCCTTGTCCTGAGCCTTCCTCAACTATTTTAGATTTTAATCTTTTAGGTTCCTGATAGGACCATGGCAGACGAAGGCATCTGCATCAGTCGTTCATCTCATCACCACCCCTCACCCCGCCGCCTTACCACACCCCTCACCCTGCCCCCACACCCCTCACCCCACCCCCTTACCACACCCCTCACCTCCTTATCATACTCCCACCTCCTTACTACACCCCTCACTTCTTTACCATACCCCTCACCCCCCTTACCACGCCTCTCACTCCCTCACCCCACCTCCACACTCCTCACCCCCTTACCACACCCCTCACCCCACTACTACACCCCTGCACTGGGATTTTGTTCATACACAAATTGAATTCTGTTCTATTCCCTTCATTATTTCCTTAAAGAAGGTAGCAGATACAAACAATAACTGGTTTATGCATGTGCAAAGGGCCACAGTCTTCCTGTGTTGTTACATATCCATCTTGAGCCCACGAGACAAGGGAGGAGCCTGCTGACTCCCTTAGCAGAGGAGGAAATGGAACTGGAGATATTGAGAGAGCTCTGGCTGGGTGAAAGGGGGATCCACTGGGGCTCACAGCAGTCTGGGGTTCAACTCTGATGTCACCACTTCTGAGAAGTGTGACCTTGACAGCAGGACCACATCACTCAAGCCTCAGTTTCTACACTTTTAATAGGGCTTATATTGAATAAGGACACTATAAGAATGGAGCAAATATTTTAAAAACTACACAAAATGCTGACACCATAGGTCTTTCCTTTCCTCTTTCTATTTTGCAGAACTGCTGGACTCCCAATTCTTCAGACCCCCCAAGAAATGGGCTCATTCCACAGTGCTGCAGCTGCTTCTGCAGGGAGCCACAAATTCCCTTGCGATCTCCCTCATTCTCTGAAAACCCTTCTGTTCTGCGACCCTAAGGGGTGAGCAGGTGGACACCAGCTTCTTACCTTGAGCTTGGTTAGGGTGTGCATGTCTGCCATGAAGTCCAGCACTTCGCTGACGTACTGCCGTATGCAATCCATCGCTGCTGTCCCACACTGCAGTAAACACAGGCACGTGGCTCGGCCACAGCACCACTCCTCGCTGTCACCACAATCTCACTCTAAAGCCGGTTCATTCTCTCTTAATCCCCCCACCACTGCCTTAAGTACAAAACTGGTTTTGAAGGTTTATGGTGGAGACCAAAGAAACTGGAAGGCCTCAAAGAAATGAAACCAATGGCTATTTCCACCGGGCAAACCAAGTGATGCTTGCTTGCTCTTAAACTGACATAAACACCAGAGTCTACTTAACTGGGGCCGCTGGAACCTCCAGGGAAGTCTCAGATGTGCACGAGATGTGCACCATAGAGTGAACACTAGCATGATCATTTTTACCTCCCCTGCACACATATCATATCGGGTTTGCAGAATAAAAAGTTCTTTCCAAATCACGTCATGACTTGACCTCATAAGCAGTCAGTGTATTACTAAATAGATACTTGTATTCGTTTTGAGTTCTTCCTAGGATAGACAAGTAGAAGAAAGAAGTGTGATGGGCGCCTCCCTCACACACTTCAAGTGTGTTTGGTCCGTTTCACAAGAAAAGAAAAAGCTTTCTGTGTGGTAGGTTATGGACTGGCTGGGACCTGCTCTCTGGGAGCAGTGCCGTGAATCTGGGATTCAAAGCGAAACAGAGGAAAGTGGATGGACAGGCTTGCTGCATCAAAGCTGCGCCTGCGAGAGAACCCACATGTCAGCCGCATAATGCGGATCAAAGGCAGGCCGTCTTTGAAGCCCCGTGAATACCCTGCTAAGGGCCTCTCTGGGTTTCCTTTAGGAAAATCTGGAACATTACAGACTTAACTAGCTCACCCAGAGACTTGCATTTCCCCCATATTCATGTAAATCTGCACAGCGCTGAACTGTATCACCTCCCCTCTCTTCTAGAATGTTCCGCTTGTCAGTTCCTCTGACAGGATAACAAATAGTGAAATAAGGTCAGTGGCCAGTCTGTCAGTGCTTTCCAAGCGTCTCACATGTTCCAAGTTTTCTCCCTTTAATTCAAATCCAGCGAAGGAATTATAAAAGGGCATTGTGCTCCGCATTTGCAATATGAATCCTGTAATGCAAAAACAGGGTCCCCCACCCTCAATTTATTCCACTCTCTCTGACCTTTCGTGCATCACGCGAGGGAGAGCGGAGAGTCCGCTCTTGAATTTCCTGAAAGGGATCTGTGTCTTTCATGGGGAATATTTTATAGCACTTCAACTCGGCAAATGCCACTGAAAAGAATCACTGGGACATCATTCAATATTTACCACTGCATGATTAGCTCATTCCAGTGGCAGCGACTACATCCAGCCTTAAAACCCACCTTAGGCTCGGGAAAATCCCGGGGAGCCACCTATACTTCAAAGGCACAAGCTGGCAATTTTCAATCCCCGCTTTGTAAAACGTAGATGTGTCACCAGGAAGAGAGGAACGAGAGGCTGTGCTCTGTCTCCAAGGGATCTGCCTTGCCCTGACAGGAAACTGGTGACAAAGGCGCTGGGCTCTCTCTAACCTCAAGCATGTGAGCTGAAATCAATCACACCCAGCTCTTCAAAATCCATCGGACTTAACAGCCACATTTCTTATACTATAAAAGCGGCATGAGTTCATGGCGGGAAGCGGCAAATGCCAAGCATTAAAAAGAACGATTTAAAACCCCTAATCCTAGACCCTGCCTTTCTTCTCTGAGACAGTCACTGCTCGCATTTCCTCCTTGGGACTCTGCTGAGGGCGCCCAACAGACACGGACCTGTGGGAAGACTGACATGGCCTTAGCTAGGCAGCCCTCCAGTTAAGCGCACCAGAGCATCCCCAGTGTCTCCTGATGGGGCAGCATTCTTGGAGTCTCTGCCTGACATACACACAGCAGCCTGCCTTCTGGGTGACGTCAACTAAACAACAGGCCGATGCTGGGCATCCCCTTGTTTCTCATTTTTGTTATTTTAATGGCACGTCAGAAATTATACTTGATTATAAGATATCCAGGACCCCTTTGTTTTCTCAAACACGTTTCTAGAAGTAAATTGTCAAGCTGGCTTCCCCAAGGTTGGCTTCACTCCCACCAGGAGCTTGTAAGAATATCACCTCCTGTCACCTCCGCTTCACCGTGATCAGTCATTTTAGTAACCAGGTGCCGAGGGGTGCAGGAGGGGAGGCCTCTGCCAATGGGGATGGGTTCCAATAGAGTGCCACCAGGCAACAATAGTGCCTACAGCTGGCAACGCTGGTGTGTGCTTAAAACTTCACACTGAGGGTTAAGCTTATGTAAAGTGTTCTCATGGTGAGATCGTGTAGAGGTGATGGCTCCACAGGTGTCAGCTCGTCTCCAAGTCTGTCACACTTCCTAAATCAGAGATCTACAGCCTCCTACATGTCAGTCAAACCTTAAAGTTCTTTTTTTTAAGAGAAAGAACAAAATCCTGCTAATTAGCCATTTACTTTTATAGTTTTGGACATTTTTTATTTTTTATTACACTTGAATTTATTTATTTATAATTCACTGGTGGCAGGTGAAAGTCATATATGCCGTTTGGGGCTGGAGAGTTGGCTCAGTTATCAAGAATACTTTTTGCCAAGGATCTGGGTTCAATTCCCAGCACCCACATAGAGGCTCACCATCTCCTTGGGGACCAGGTATGCATGTGGTGCATAGCTGCACATGCAGGTGAAACACTCAAATACATAAAATAATAAAAATAAAACTTTAATAATATGTCTTTTGAATGGCCTGGTTTGTGTAACTGGAGGCTCTGGAGCAGGGCCCTGCGACTGCTGCGAGGAGGAGGTGATGGAGGTGGTGATGGAGGAGGTGTTGGAGGTGATGGAGGAGGTGGTGGAGGTGGAGGTGGTGATGGAGGAGGTGGTGGAGGAGGTGGAGGAGGTGGTGGAGGTGGTGGAGGAGGTGGTGGAGGAGGTGGAGGAGGTGGTGGAGGTGGTGGAGGTGATGGAGATGGTGGAGGAGGTGGAGGAGGTGGTGGAGGTGGTGGAGGTGGTGGTGGAGGTGGAGGAGGTGATGGAGGTGGTAGAGGTGGTGGAGGTGGTGGAGGAGGTGATGGAGGTGGTGGAGGTGGTGGTGGAGGTGGAGGAGGTGATGGAGGTGGTGGAGGTGGTGGAGGTGGTGGAGGTGGTGGAGGAGGTGGTGGAGGTGGTGGTGGAGGTGGAGGAGGTGATGGAGGTGGTGGAGGTGGTGGAGGTGGTGGAGGAGGTGATGGAGGTGGTGGAGGAGGTGGAGGAGGTGGTGGAGGTGGTGGAGGTGGTGGAGGTGGTGGAGGAGGTGATGGAGGTGGTGGAGGTGGAGGAGGTGATGGAGGTGGTGGAGGTGGAGGAGGTGATGGAGGTGGTGGAGGAGGTGGTGGAAGTGGTGGAGGTGGTGGAGGAGGTGATGGAGGTGGTGGTGGAGGTGGAGGTGGTGGAGGTGGTGGTGGAGGTGGAGGAGGTGATGGAGGTGGTGGAGGTGGTGGAGGAGGTGATGGAGGTGGTGGAGGTGGAGGAGGTGATGGAGGTGGTGGAGGTGGTGGAGGTGGTGGAGGTGGTGGAGGAGGTGGTGGAGGTGGTGGAGGTGGTGGTGGAGGTGGAGGAGGTGATGGAGGTGGTGGAGGTGGTGGAGGAGGTGGAGGTGGTGGAGGTGGTGGAGGTGATGGAGGTGGTGGAGGTGGTGGTGGAAGTGGTGGAGGTGATGGAGGTGGTGGTGGTGGTGGTGGAGGTGGTGGAGGTGGAGGAGGTGTTGGAGGTGATGGTGGTGGAGGTGGTGGTGGAGGTGGTGGAGGTGGTGGTGGTGGTGGAGGTGGAGGTGGAGGTGGTGGAGGTAATGGAGGTGGTGGAGGTGGAGGAGGTCGAGGTGGTGGTGGTGGTGGAGGTGGAGGTGGAGGTGGTGGAGGTAATGGAGGTGGTGGAGGTGGTGGTGGTGGAGGTGGTGGTGGTGATGGTGGTGGTGGTGGTGGTAGACGGCCTTCTTTTCTTTGGTTCTGACAAACCTTTTCCAGAGTAGGGGTGAATTTTTGGTCAATCATATAGGTAGCAAATAGAACCCTCTAAGGAATTAGTCAACCGAGGCAGAGTGTGCACAGAGCTGCTGCTGCCCAGGTCCCCTCTTCTTCCCCAGCACATCCCTGGACCGCATTTCCCATCCTCTCTTGTAGCTGGTGTGTCCTTGTGTAAGGCAAGCACAACAAAGCTGGAGTCTCCCATGTTAGCACTTGTTCTCTTTCCCTAACCTTGCTAGTCGATTCCAGAGGGCCAAAGGACAGAGAAGCCCACCTCTCAAGTGTTGCCATACCCTGACTACTTGGGATGCCCATGCAAACGTCACACAAGACAACAATGCATTCCTGGGTGCTGAGCACCTAGGAATTGGGATTTGATTGCAAACCTTCTCACATTATACTGACAACTATTAAAAGCTCTTTATAAATGGTGCAGTAATTCTCCTCCCATGAACCTATCCTTTTTTTTTTTTTTTTTTTTTGGTTTTTCAAGACAGGGTTTCTCTGTGGCTTTGGAGCCTGTCCTGGAACTAGCTCTGTAGACCAGGCTGGTCTCGAACTCACAGAGATCCGCTTGCCTCTGCCTCCCGAGTGCTGGGATTAAAGGCGTGCGCCACCATCGCCCGGCTCCATGAACCTATCCTAAAGAAAGAGTCTGAAGTATGGACTCAGTTTTAAGAATGATGATCTCAGCTGCATCTCAGTTACAAAAGCAGCATAACTGAAAATAAACCGCCCAGCTGCTATGTTTGTCAACATTCATTGCTTTGTTTTGGGGAGGGTTCTATGAAGCCCCTGCTGGTCTTTCGCTTGTATAAGCCAGCACGCGCAGCATTAATAACCAGCATTTACTCTGCACAACGTTCAGCTGCATTATCCCAGTCAGTTCTCAACATACACGAGACCCTGCTGCATCTCATTCATGGGTGACAGAAAAGCGGGGAGCCACAGTTTAAGTGACTTGACCACTAGTAAATGCCAGGCCTCAAACTTGGGTCCCAGTCTTAAAGCCTACATTCCTAAACACTGTTCGCTGAAATAAGAAAACGCGGGCCATAAACTCGGCCAGGACTTACCCCAGGCACGGAGGCTATCATCTGCTTGCTCAGAATGGTAGACTCAGCTAGCTTGGTTCCAGCATCTGCACAAATAAACTAATAAAAAATTGAAAGGTGAATTATTTTTAAGAGTACTCGGATAGTTACAACTAACTTATAATCTTGTTAACAGGGCTAAAATTTATTCATGTTTACTTTTGTTATGTTATGGTCCCTCCCTTCCCGAAATATCAGACTTGCAAATCATGACGGTCCATTCCTGTCCACTTAGAAACAACATGAGCATGTGTATGCTAACTTTACAAAACCCAGAATTGAACAAAGAAGAACGTGTGTGTGTGCATATGTGTGTGTGTGTGTGTGTGTGTGTGTGTGTGTGTGTGTGTGTGTGTTGGAGGGGGCCCTCAGAGCTCCCAAGCCGCCCAGTCCATCCTGCAGTGTTTGACAGCTGCTGGCACACAATCCTGGACTTTCACAACGCCTATCATGACAGCACAACTCAGATGGGTGTCAGAGTGACTGTTCTGTTTCTTCCCCTCTGAGGATCCTCCGTGTCCATCTTCCTCCCTCCACCTCATTCACACACACTGTCGTGGGCTGGGAGTGCCCGAATCCTGCCTCTGCACCCACAGGGCTTTCCACAGACTGGCATTTCAGCTGTTGTCACCTCAGGCTGCAATGGCCTGCCACTTCCTTCTCAACCTGTTGGGAGCTCTCCATAAGACCTGATCCTCTCCAGAGATAGCCTGCTACCCCAGGGAAGCCCAGGAAGAGGTAGCCTGCTGTCCCCGCCTAGCCCAGGAAGAGTTTGTGAATGGATTCATCAATTACATCTTAAGATCATGATGAGGATGGACTTGCCAGATTATAATTTAATTTGCTTTCATTATAGGCATTGACAGGTGTCTCCTACTTAATCTAACATTCGGCTATTTATTGTTTTAGGGGGAACAGTTAAACGAAGCCCAGGGATAGCTGAGTAATTAACTCCTGTTTTATTTCTCTTCTTGGCCACTGGCCAGCTGTCCTAGCAACTTTGGAATCTGCGGTTTGCAGAACTCAGAGCCCCAGCAGGTTCTGACATACAGCTGCTCCTTCCCTCCCATCTGGAAGGTGTGGAAAACCTGAGAGTGAGAGGTCAAGACACCTGTGTGGAGCTACATAAGCTCATCCTGCAAACTGGAGAAAGAAACAGCAGTTGGGGTCAAGCAGAAAAGCGCAGGGAGGCCTGCTGGGAAAGTGTGGGACAAGGGAATGGAAACCAACATTTGGATGAACTAATCGGGGGTGCAGATCTGAGAGTGCTGATTGGCAGCAGGTTTCAGCCAGCTAGGTGGGACTCTACATCAATGGCCTTTCTAACGTGTTCACCCTAATGTTGTGTAAGGAAGAGTCCTGAGCCAGGTTTAAACACCAGGAAGCCTTTGACTTTAGCCACAACCTGTACGCAGAAACAGTGAGGTGGGTAATGTTTAGCAGAACAGGATGTAGAAGCAAGTACTCCCAACCCGTCTCCTGGCAGATGCTGCATGCTCTCCCATAAAATGACTTTTCCAAAGCTGTCTGCGTTTGGAGTCTGAGACAGGTGACCTAGGGCTAAGTTCTAACCCCATCAGAACACCAGTGTCAACGCCCATTCTCACGATAAAAAAAGAGACGGTGGCAGCGGCCTTGGTAAGATGGTGCCACGCCAACATGTGACATAAAGGACATTAGAGTGGCCTCTCAGGACAGCCGAAGGTCCTGGCCCTCAAAATGTACTTGTATGGCCTAGGTAGGGGGTACTGAGCAAGGTAGGGTCAACACAGAAGCACAGGTGTGACCACTAGGATCCACCTTCAGCAGGTACCTGCCCCTGCCAGACAGTGTGCTCAGACTCAAAACTGTCACGACTTACACAAGTCAAAATAAAACACCGGCTTTTCTTGAAAGGGAGCAAAGGCACACGATCCTCTGAAAGCCCAGGGACCAATGTCTTCAGCCCAGGGTATTTCTACAGCATATGAGCAACTGAACTCAGCAAATCTGTCATTTTATTATAGCTGCCAACCACAAAGTGGCAAAGCCCTACTGTAACCGCACAGAACTGCTCAAATATCAAGTCACAGCTGAGCTCGGGGGAAATGAAGCAAAAACTCTATACTTTCACATAACAGTGAAAGGGAAAAAGATGCCAAGAATTTGAAAGCGAGCAAGGGGCGGTGTATGGGGGGTCTGGAGGGGCAGGGAAGGGAAAGGTGGTCTCATCATATTATAATCCCAAAATAAAAGCTCAAAAACAAAAGCAAGAGGATTCTGTGCTCTCAGGAAGGAATATGCCACTGAAGTATGTACCCCTCCATAAGAACAAAAGACACAAAGGAGCACACCGTCCACTATGTGTCATCACTTAACTCATCATCAGCAAAAAAATACCCAAAATAGCATGTCTACCTCCCCTCCCATAGGGCGGGTTAGCTAGTATTAATGACTTGCTCAATGGTATGAATTAAAAACAGCAACCATACCTTTGTTCTCAGCCCACAGCTAACCTATTTTTAAAGGAGAACCTTCTACCAACATGATCCTGCAGCCCTTGATTGTGCAGGGACCCCACGGCGTGGGAGGGGTGCATGTAAATTAGCCAAGTATCTACTCTCCACACAGGAGCAGAGGGAACCCATTTGGACTTGAAGCCAGTCTTTCCGGTGACTTTTAATAAGTTATTATTCTACTACGGAAGCTTTCCTTGAATCCTCAAATATGCTGGCCTATCTAACATGCATCAAACATTCTCAGTAGAGGTGGAGGGGAGGGGCTCCCAGGATGCCACCAGCAATGAAGAATTTCAAGGACTTGTGGAACAGACTAGCACTGTGACTGCCTTGAAAGAAGATAAGCGTTCACTGTTGGGTAGGGGTGTTGCGGAATATTTGTTTAACTACGTAAAGATGTGTTGTTATTTTACCTTGCCTACTTAAGACACCTGATTGGTCTAATAAAAAGCTAAACATCCAATAGTGAGGGAGAAGATATAGGCAGGACTTCTGGGCCGGGAGATTAAGTAGGAAAAGGAATTTAGACTCAGGGAAGAAAGAAAAAAGAGACACAAGGGAGATGCCAGGGTCCAGCCAGTCAGACACAGAGGAAGCCAGAAAGTAGGACAGACAAAATGAAAGAAAGGTAAAATACCCCAAGGAAAAACATCGATGAATAGAAACATTAAACTAAGCTAAAAGAGCCAGTGGGACAAGCTTAAACTAAAGCTGAGCATTCATAATTAATAAGTCTCTGTGTCTTTATTTGAGAGCTGGTTGGCAACCCAAAGAAAATTCAAACTGCATAGGGGTCTCTGGTATTGCTGTTTAACAGAAACACAATTAAGGTATGCCCTACCCATGGGTCAATTAACAGTTCCATTCAGATAAGCTTATCTATAGTCCTACCTCATACGGGGCAGGACCCCAGGGTGGAGACAAGAGTTGCACTGGCTTTCAGAGACACCTCACTTTGTCTCACCTCATTAATAACTAGAATGATTTACTCTAACAGTTTATAGATGAGTTACTAACAAATAGCATGATGTTTATTTTTTATTTTTATTTTTTTGTCAGAGAAGGATGAACCATTGTTCAAAAAGCTATTCTTCAAGGGTAAGATGTCAGTGTTTCCTGGAAAACCAGAACAGTTTCTAAACTGAAGGTGTCAGTGTGTGTGTGTGTATTGTTTGTTTGAAAATGCAATCCTAGTTCTTGGGAGACTGAGGCAAGAAGCACTAAGGAGTTAGAGGCTAGCCTGCACTACGCGATGAGACTCAGTCTTTAAAAGAAGCACCAAGGAGTTAGAGGCTAGCCTGCACTACACAATGAGACTCAGTGTTAAAAAACAATCTAAAAATGTTGTATTCGTAACGGCAGACAAACATTCAAAAGTCCCATTTAGAATGCCCACTTTTAGCCCCCTTTCTTGTTAACGCAGATTTGTCTTTGTTATTTATTCACCAGTGATGCAGTAATCACTGTTTTCACAGTTGCCGTAAGCGCTGGTAATTGGAACTGTCAGTGTTCTTCTGTTGTCTGGTGATAGGCGTTCATTAGGGTTGACTCATGGACTTCATAGAAACCAGCCCACAACCGCTACAGTGTGAGGTGCCAGACCCCAAGAAGACCGGCCACACAGATATGCTCTGCTCAGGACGGAGAGTAGGAGACAGGTGCTGTCCAGTGCTGTGGAGAGAACCCAGGGTCCTCAAGCTTGTTTCCTGTCTGTACTGTTTGAAGCCGTCCAGTCTCTGGCTGTCAGACTTGCCAAGTAGACACTTGTCCTGGTGACCAGCGCTAAGGACAATAAGTTTTTCCCTGGTTACACAGGAGGGAATCTGTCCTGCTCACAACTTTTCCCAAGGACTTTCTTTATCTTTGTCTCTCTTTTCTGACACTAGCCACAGCCTGTCTTGGAAGTTTAAACCGGCCTGCCTACGATGCCAGTAAGGACGCTGGAGACAGAGGGCTTCAGCCCCTCCTTTGTAGTTCAATATCCAAGCATATTCAGTGTCATTAACTCCCCAGTGCTTGCCCTCAAGTCCTCTGCCTCAGTGGACACACGGAGGCTGATTCTCATCTCCCACCCATGAACACAACACATCCCGCCCCTTGGCTGTGTCTGGTCTGGCCCATCCTCATGAATACAGAAGATTCTGGGGCTTGTGCATGCTGATTGGACCATGCAGGAAAAGGTCAGCCTGCATCCTCGCTCTTAGCTTCCTTAGTTCCATCTCTGCAAATTTCTGTGTGTGTGTGTGTGTGTGTGTGTGTCGGAGCTCTTTGAGCTGACTAAGCCAGATATGGGTGCTAGGAACCAAATTTGGACTTGTAGAAAAGCAAACCACTGACCATCTCTTCAGCCCTAAGTTACAAGTTTCTTGATGACAAAAATTATTGTTTTATTCTATATTTTTATCATACACAAAACTAGGTCCACACTGAGACAAAAATTACTCCTCCTTTGTCTATTTAGCAAGTGGAAGTGCCAAGTGCACCATGAGGATTAGAGTGACACTCCCGTCTCTTGACAAGTGGCCTTGAGCACATGACCCAGGCCTCCGTTACCTTTCCCCAATACACACAACAACATGAAAAGTTTTGCAGATGCAGCACAGATCTACCTGGACAAGAAGCAGGAGGTTTGTATCTGGCAATGGAGACTTGAACTTCAGGGCCTGGAGAAGTTCCAGAACAACACTCCGAGACAGGTAGAATTTATCCCGTTCCTAGATAAAGCAAAATAAAAGGGGTCAGTCATTTTCAGAATTCAATTTGCACGACCTACATCAAATAAGCTTCAAAAATTTACAGATCGGAAATTCAAACCGGTGTTTAAAGTACAATGAGCTGTCTTTCGTAGATAAAATTGAAACTAAAAGAAAGTTCTGTGTGCAGAATGAGTTCGCTGCTGCCACAAGGGTACGTCACAGAGTGGACAAGAAGCAACAGAGTCTCTTAAACATCAGAACCACAGGATTCTCTTCTGAGTCACAGGCAGCAGAGTTCACAAGCTGTACAACCCAACAGAACTAACTAAGCATATGTTTTTCAGTACAAAGGGTGGATACAGAGAGAAGTGGGCATAGATTCCCGAAAAACTCCATGTTCCCTCCAAGACACTCCTTTCTGACCTGGATGATTTCAAGTGTACAGAAAGCAGAGAGAAGGGGACATTTTATGCACCCACCATCCCCATCCCATGTTTCCTCCCTTCCTGGAAATCCTCTCTACTCGGATTCTGTTGCTTGTTGTGTGTTTCCATATTGGACTACACAAGCACACCTCTATTGGAATGTTTTTTTAACCTTAGGACCATGGCATCATATACTATGCATATCTTTTCTTCAGAATTTTTTATGTTGCTTAATACCTTTTGATATTCTTAACTCATTATTTTGAGTCAACAATTTATTAGCATTATATTGCATAGTTGCACCACAATTCACCATCATCAGCTTCATATTAGATGGACTGTCTCCATTACTGAACACAGCACTCATGTGGTAGAGCGCGTAGTGTGTAAGTGTACAGTTAAGGAATTAAAATGGACTGAGCTTGCAGGTAACGAACACTTAGGACAGGGCCGCACATGGCAGAGACCTCAGGGGCTCTGGGGAGTATTCATTCTCATCCACTGTGTCTGTGTGTTTAGCTGGTTATGTTAGCTGTGTACTGAAGGTTTTCACTTTGCTGTTCCATGTAGAGATACTGTGTTTCCACAACTGTTATCTTCCTTCGAAGAGCCTTCTGCTTCTTCTTCCCAGGTGCGTGTGGCCTGCATTGGCTGACCACAGCTACCTTAGTCACAGAAAGGCTTGTGGATTGAACCTCAGAGCCAACAACTGTGCTCTGAGTTTACTCTGGTCTTTCTTAGTCTGAGCCCTTGATGGAGGTATACTCTTGTGGAGGATGTGGAATCCGGCTCTCCTGTCGGAAGCTCATTTCTCTGCCCTCCTTAACTATCGGAAGTGCCGAAAAGAAAGCTGATCAACATTTCCAGGGAAAAACTGGCCTTCAGGGCCAAGTTCACCACCCTGAAGTGTGCAGGGCCAGGCTCAACACCCTGTAGTATTTGTGCTCTTCTGGTCCCTGGCGTCATGTCTGTATATTTGGTTAACATAATGATGCTCCCAAGAAGCTTAAAAGGGAATAGCCTGTTTAATAAAAAAAATTCCAATTTTAAAAAAATGTGTGTGTGTGTGTGTGTGTGTGTGTGTGTGTGTGTGTTTGTGTGTGTGTCAACTTGCAGGGCCTGGTGACCTTCCACCATGTGAGTTCTGTCAAGTTCTGGTTGTCAGGCTTTGTGGCAGATGCTTCTGTCCTGACACAACACCATTTTACTGGCTCTAAAACAAACCTTTCAAAGTGGTAAGTAGGGATCTAGCTTCAAATTACTCTGCTCACAACTTTTTGTTTGGTTTTGGTTTGGGTTTTTCAAGACAGGGTTTCTGTGTGTATCCCTGGTTATCCTGAAACTCGCTCTGTAGACCAGGCTGGCCTTGAATTCAGAGATCCACCTGCCTCTGCCTCCCGAGTGCTGGAATTAAAGGCGTGTGTCACCACTGCCTGGCTGCTCACAACTGCCATATAACTCCATGTAAGGCTGGCAAAAGAGGTGAGTGGAAGACACTGGCAACAGTAAAAGTTTTCTTGACCGAATCCTAAGGTTAAACATGTGATGACTGCCAGGTGTTTTGTAGCTCTCGCCTGTGTTGCATCATTGTGTGACTCTGCTGCAGCCTCTGTTCTGAACACACACCACACACACACACACTACACACACCCCACACATACACACTACACAACACAACACATACAACACAGACACCACAGACACCACACACATACCACACATACACACTACACACACACCACACACACACCACACACATACCACACATACACACTACACACACACCACACACACACACATACCCCACACACACTACACACACACCACACACACACACCACACACAACACATATACACACTACACAACACAACCAAACACACACTGCACTGTGCATGCCGGACTGCACTGCCTGAAACACCTCTGCTCAGGCTGTGGCATGCAAGCGACTGTCGTGTTTCTGTTGTGCATACAAAGGCTCTGCTTTTACAGAAATACAAGGTTTGTTGTGGGAAAGACTTCTAAGATGGTCCCATTGCCATACTGCAATTTATTTTCTTTAAAAAAAAATATTTATTTATTTATTATGTATACAATATTCTGTCTGTGTGTCTCTGCAGGCCAGAAGAGGGCACCAGACCTCATTACAGATGGTTGTGAGCAACCATGTGGTTGCTGGGAATTGAACTCATGACCTTTGGAAGAGCAGGCAATGCTCTTAACCTCTGAGCCATCTCTCCTGCCCCCATACTGCAATTTCTAAGCATGTGCGCACCGAGTAACCTCTGATTCACAGAGTTAGAATGTTTGATTTTAAAATTGCCGTTTCAGCTGCTGACTTACGTTTCATTTTTACAATCCCTGCATATATTTTAGCTTGGAATTAGGAAAAGGTTTACAATAATTTGAGACGATCTTGAACACACTTCCACAGTTCTTGTGCTACGTGTTTATGTAAAGCCTGGTTTTCAGGCCTGATGAGAATAAAATAAAAATACCAAACAATTCTGAAAACCTTGAAGATAATCTATGTCCTGTAGTACTCTATTCATGTCCTGCACATATTCTGGCAAGATTTGATTCTTTACACAATAAACAAGCAGATCCAACTCATTAATAAGAATTTTTTAATAAAGATTTTTAAAATTTATTTATTTATTGTTTTTGGTTTTTCTAAAGACAGGGATTTTCTATGTGTAGCCCTGGCTGTCCTAGAACTCACTCTGTAGACCAGGCTGGCCTCAAACTCACAGAGATCCACCTGCCTCTGCCTCCTGAGTACTGGGATTAAATGCATGTGCCACCACTGCCTGGATTTTTAAAATTTTTAATGTGTTTGTGCATGTATCTGTGTGGGGGTATGTGCCCATGAGTGCAGGTGCCTGTAGTAGCCAGAAGAGGGTGTTGAATCCCCTGGAACTGGATTTATAAGCAGCTAGCATGGGTGCTGGGAACTGACTGGAGTCCTCTGCAGGGGTAGGTAGGCTTTCTTACCACTGAGCCATCTTTCCATCCTCGAAACTTTCTTTTACCTTTAATAAATGGTAAAAGTATGTACACCAAATAACTGTTCTAAAATAAATGCATCCATGACTTACTAGTAGTAAATGTTTGGCCGAAAGCCTATTTTACAGTCCTGTAGATCCCAGCTGTCTGTCCTCTCCTTTCCCTGCTGCCCTCCTCTGCTGGAGTCAGGAGAGACAATGTTAACTCCAGCCTCAACTGTTCACACACACACGCACAGACATACACACACAGGCAAAGATACACACAAACACACACACATAGACACACGCAGACACAGATACACATAAACACACACACAGAGACATATACATACAGAGACACAGACACAGACACACACACAGTCACACACAGTCACACCCAATATACAGGTTATTATTAGCAGGTATTTAATTGTCCTTTTGTTTTCTGCTTAGTTAATATTATCACTACTGTTGCTTTATATTACCAATGATCACTTAGATTTACACATTTTATTAATTTCTTTGGTAAATTTCCTATATTTAAAAACTTCTTTGTTGGTTCAATTTCCTTCTTATTGTAATACATCTTGAAATATTACTTCAATAAGAATATATTCACATTTTCAGGGGCTGGGGAGATGTCTCAGCAGTTAAGAGCAAGTACTGCCCTTGCAGAGGGCCTGGGCTCAGTTCCCAGCACCCACATGCAACAGTTCATATCTGTAACTCCAATTCCATGGGATTCATTGCTCTCCTCTGGCCTTCTTGGGCACTAGACATACACATGGTGCAGATACATACATGCAGGTATTCACACATACACAGAAAGTAAAAATTAATGAATCTTCAAGAGAAATAATATTTTATTTTTTTCCTCATAAATACCTCCTTAGCCTCTATTCTATTCTTATTGATTTTATTGAGCTCTTTTTTCTCCACTCCTCTTCCTCCTTTCCCTCTCCCCTTCTACCCTCTCCCATGACCCCATGCTCCTAATTTACTCAGGAGATCTTGTTTCGTTTTTTTTCCCTGTCTATGTAGATCCATGTATGTCTCTCTTAGGATTCTCTTTGTTGTCTAGGTTCTTTGGGGTTGTGAACTGTAGGCTGATTTTTCTTTGCTTTATGTCTAAAAGCCACTTATGAATGAGTACATATGATATTTGTCTCTCTGGATCTGGGTTACCTCACTCAATATGGTTTTTTTTCTAGATCTATCCATTTGCCTGAAAATTTCAAGATGTACTCCATTGTGTAAATGTATCACATTTTCCTTATCCATTCTTCAGTTGAGGGTCACTTAGGTTGTTTCTATGTTCTGGCTATTATGAATAAAGCTGCTATGAATAGTTGAGCACATGTCCTTGTGATATGATTGAGCATCCTTTGGGTATATACCCAAAAGTGGTATTGCTGGGTCTTGAGGTAGATTGATTCCTAATTTTCTGAAAAATCTCCATGTTGGTTTCTAAAGCATCTGTACCAGTTTGCACACCCAGCAGCAATGGAGGAGTGTTCCCTTTACCCCACATCCTCTCCAGGATAAGTTGTTATCAGTGTTTTTGCTCTTGTCATTCTTACAGGAATAAGATGGAATCTCAGAGTTGTTTTGATTTGCATTTCTATGATGGCTGAAGACGTTGAGAAATTCCTTACCTACCTTTTGGCCAGTTGAGATTTGTCTGTTGAGAGTTCTCTGTTTAGGTCTGTACCTCAGTTTTTTCATTGAATTATTCATTCTTTTGATGTCAAGTTTCTTGAGTTCTTTGTATATTTTGGAGATCAGACCTCTGTCTGATGTGGGGTTGAAGATCTTTCCCCATTCTGTAGGCTGCAGTTTTGTCTTGTTGACCGTGTCCTTTGCTTTACAGAAACTTCTCAGTTTCAGGAGGTCCCATTTACTAATTGTTGCTTTTACTGTCTGTGCTATTGGGGTTATATTTAGTAAGTGGTCTCTTTTGTGCCAGTGTTGTGTTCAAGTGTACTTTCCACTTTCTCTTCTATGAGATTCAGTGTGGCTGGCTTTATGTTGAGGTCTTTGATCCATCTGGACTTGAGTTTTGTGCATGGTGATAGATATGGGTCTATCTTTTAGCCTCCATTCTTTCTTTTTTAAATAGGAAAACTTACTTTAATCTCTTTAACCTCCGTTCTTAAAAGATCTCTTAGCTGGAGAGAATTCTAGGTGAACATTTTCCCCCTTATAACTAAAGACCTTTCCCACTAGGATCCATCTCCCTCTGGGGTTGCACTGTGCGACTGTGAGGTCTATTTTCAGAGTGTTTTCCCTCAGTTGCTCTTAAACTATTTTCTTTTTCTTGCTTGTTCCAAATCACAGCTGGTCATATAAACTAATGTGTATGTAGGTGAGTGGCTGCAGGTGGGTGGGTGCTAGTGAGTGGGCATAGGAGAGCAGGTGCCTGTGAGTGGGTGCAGGTGAGCGGGTGCAAGTGAGGGTGCTGATGAGCAGGTGCAGATGAGCAGGCACAGGGCAGCGGGTGCAGGTGAGCGGGCGCAGGTGCGCGGGTGCAGGTGAGCGGGTGCAGGTGCGTGGGTGCAGGTGAGCAGGTGAGTGGGTGAACATAAGTGGGTGCAGGTGAGCGAGTGAAGGTGAGTGGGTGCAGGTGAGCGGGTACAGGTGAGCAGGTGAGTGGGTGAACATAAGTGGGTGCAGGTGAGCGAGTGAAGGTGAGTGGGTGCAGGTGCGCGGGTGCAGGTGAGCAGGTGCAGGTGAGCGGGTGAAGGTGAGTGGTGAGGCTGGATCTAGAATATTTCTGGACACATTGTGTCCCAAATAATAAAGCTGACGATTTTCATTAATCATGGAAATGATAAAAGTCTAGTCTACAGATTTACTTAATGTGTGTTAGATCTTTTTAATCTTTCATTTTTTAATCTTTGTCTGAATTTCTTAAGATTTGTTTTGCTGTTTTCCCTTGATCCCAATTCTCCCTGTAAGCTGTCTCTAATTTGTGGTGCTCATGGCTGATGTGATGCTTGTGGCTGCTACCCTCACAGACTGTTTGGGTAGTGCTCCCTGATCTGTCCTATTAGTGTGCAGGTTCAGATCCGTCTGTCTGCAAACACTGAGTTAACCTGTAAATTGAGTTTTTTTTTTCAGTGTTAGTGGTTATTTTTCACTTTTTATCAAGCTTAAATTAAGCTGATTTTTTATCTAAAATGACTAAATCTTTTTCTAGTTTTTTAATCCTTTGCATGCTTATAGGATAGTGTATACTCTGATAGCCCCTGCCTCACAGTTTCCATATCTTAGGAGAAAGAATATCACTATTTATTGGCTCTACTAATCCAGGCCATGGTGGAGAGTGGAGCTTAGTTACTTCTGCTCATCAGGGTTTTCGCCCCAGGAATCAGGCTGGGCTGGCCTGCAGGCTCACCTCTCCAGACATGCCTGAGCTTCCTCCTGCAGAGATGCCAAAGCCGAGTGCCTGTTGTGGTGCAGCATGGGTGTCATGTGACTTCAGCTTGCATGTATCATTGCTCTTAACAAAATCTCAGTTGTTTGATTTTACCAAAAAAGACCTGGGAGTCAGATGCTGAGGTGAAAGCCTGCTAGCTCAGAGAGGCAGAGAAGGCACCCAGCTGACCTTCCTCCTCCACTGCCATCCCTGAAGCCTCTCCTCTCCCTTCTCAAACAAGTCTCCACAAACTGAAGCTCCTGCCCTTTGATTTCCTGTGTGTCTCTCTATCCATCCTCCTGACTCCCTCTTATTCTCTATAGTTTTTTATTAATAATCTTATGTTTACTTCCTCTCAACTGGTTGCTTCCTCTGCCTCCTGACCAACCTTGTTTATAATATAATATAATAAGAGGCCCTTGTATTAAAGGTGTGCACTAGGGCTGAGCCACACCACAACTAGAAACAGGTTTCTGAAGAATAATAACACAATCTCAGGGTTCACAGTGTGATCAAATATCCTGCAACAAGATATTAAAACTTCAAAGCAATCTTTTCCATGATCAGCCTATGTTCACTAATTCTCAAGGGACATCATATTCTTTCTCTATTAGAAGGCTAAAACACATAGAATTGCTTGTCACTGCCACATTACAAACGTATTCTTCCGGAACCACCCCTTTAGCCAGCATATAGCTTTCCAAGGGTTTTGACTTCCCGAGGGAGATGACTTGGCTCCAGCTCCTGGCCTTTTCTTGTGTGGACTTCAGCACTCGGCTCACTACATTGCTAAGGCAGTAGCCCCTCCACAGACCTGCTTGCGTGCTTGCGTGTGGGCTTTCAAGTCCCTTTTCTTTTTCCCTCTGTCATTCTTAAAATATTAACCTTACACTTAAAGTATCATAAGACATTCTAAAAGTAAGGATTATTATATTTCACCCAGACTTCTAGTCTTTTCAGTGGTGTGGATCTGTATTTTCTAGACTGTCTGACTTCCAGGGAAGGATGCCTCCAGGACTCTCTACTTTCTCCTGTCTCCTCACTGGATTACATAAGGAGATGCTGTTAGATATCACTATTTTAAATAAAATGACTTCTAAAAATAAAGCATTTTAGTGTCTTTGGTGCTATGTTGTAGAGATACACTTTTTGAAGAGTAAAAGCAAAAGGAGGTTAAGTTACTTTTCAAAGAGAAAGTACAAGGAAAGAAAACGCTGACTTCTTGAAAGGAAGAAAATATGAGCTCCAGGCAGGCCAATAACTACCCGAGAATGTAAGGCCAAAGAGAAAATTATCACGGAACACTTACCATGGCAAAATGGATCAAGTTGGTAAGAAAGATGACCAGGGTGCTTTTTATAAATAGAATGAAAGCTTTGTTGTAAAATGAGAGTTTTAGGGGGAAATAAAGGGCTCATAGAAGGAGGCAACACAAATAAAGAACATTCTGAATGCTTAGGAGGGACCCACAGAAACAGACGCCCCATTGAAAACAAGCTCAGGACACTGGGCCTTGGAAGGGAGCGTTTGCAGTGTCCCCAGGATGGGAAGGAGCCACTTTCTCTGCTGCCTGTATTTCCTGCCGGCTCTGATAAGGTGGTCATGTCCACTGGATAGGACACACTTTTCCATTTTCTCAGACTTGGAGGGAGAGAGGTGCTAAAGTCAACCCAGCTAGGAGCCATGATTAAGATTCTCCTCTCAAAGGCCGAGAACTCAGATCTGGGGACATAAACATGGGGGCATTAAGGAGCACTCTAGAGGCCTGTACAAGTAGCGAGCTATTTTTTCTCCTTTGGTTATAAAAAAAGACACACATTGGCAGTCTGCCCACTCACGATGCTATAACAAACTTGAAAGTGTCTTTATGAAGTCACTTAGACCACTAACTTGCTCAAAATGCTTCTTGTTTTCTAAACCATGCGGCCTCCGTCTCCAAATCTGCACCTTTCAGAACCGGTTAATGCCTGATGCAAGTGTAAAGTGTCCAACAGGCCTCGGTATAACCACTCGTCCATCTTAACCACAATAAGGCAGTGACGACATCAGATTTGATGTTGCTGCCTCCAGCTCCATGGGGAATACAGGGAGGCTTACCTTGGTGAAGGCTCGATAGCACAAGCCACATAGCTCCACCAGGTAGGCCAGAGTGAAGACCGCATTCTGAATGACGAAGCTGAGTAACTTGGAAAATGGTTCCAACAAACTCTGCAATGAGATTAGAGGCAAATAAAACTGCTTATACCTTCACTTTTAAAAAAAAAAAGTACCAGTCTTATACTTTAACCACTAGAGCTGTGTTTTAGAAATTTGACGCAAGCTGCTGTTAATAACCACTCTGTTGGTCTAAGAAATCAACCCACGATTCAAAAAGAATGAGTTAGTCACTTTATTGCTCAGAAAAATCAAACCCCTCATTTTCCCACGTGGGACCTTTTACAAATCGTCTCTATTACAGTCCTGTTCTCCTGCCAGGCTAAGCAATCCCACCTCTGCAAGGCTGTGTTGAGATCTCCCAATCTGGTCTGCTGGACCCTCAGGTGTCTGTGGCTCCTCACATTGGCACCCACCAGTTACACTCTGAGAAGAGCTCTGTGCGCAGCACCAAGTACCTAGAGCTCAAACATGGCTCCTGCTGCCCAGCTTCCCGCATGTATTCATCAGAGGGATGTTGCCGGTTTGTTTCCCATCTGAACCCCACCATCAGAGCTCAGTTTTAGTCAACCAGAAGTGCTTAGAGAGCACCCACTGAGTATCAGGCAGGGCTTGGGTGATTTTGCATTATGTATCTGTGAGTGTGTATGTCTATCCTGGAGCCCTAGGAGCCAGGAAAGAACACAAGCTCCAGGCTTTGATGCTGCTCTTCTTAGCTGAAGTCTTGGATCTAGATATAGATATAAACAATTCACTCTCTTATTGATAATATAAGAAATTAAAGTGCTATTCAGTCCTCCAGAACCGTCCATCTTAACAGCCACACTACAAACGCCACCTCAGTGAATGTCTGCATGACATTTTCACTTGAACGCTCTTCCTTAGAACAGATGTCCAGAAAAGGACTGGCTCAATAAGAGGAAAACAACATTTTAAAATATTTACTTTTTGTGCGTTCACATGTGAGGGTGTGTTTGTGCCATAGTACACACGTGGAGGTTGGAGGACAATCTCAGGTTTCGGGTGAGGAGAGTCTCACCTTCCACCTTGTCTTGGGCAATGTTTCTTTTGCTGTTTGCCACTGTGCTGCATCCAGTTTTTATGTGGGTTCTGGGAATGAAGACTGCTTGTGTGCCAAGTGCCTTTACCCTCTGAGCATCTCTGCAGACCCAGGGATAAACTCACTTTTAAAGAGTTATTTTATTTTTACTTTTGTGTGTGCCTGTGAGTGTGTATATCTATGTGTGTTTGCATGTGTGTTTGTGTGGGTGTATGTGTGTGTCTGTGTGTGAGTATATGTGTCTCTGTGTATATATGTGTGTGTATGTGTCTGTATGTGTGGATGTGTTTGTATGTCAGTGTGTATTTGTATGTCTGTGTGTACCTGTGAGTGTATGTGTGGTTTCTGTGTGTTTGTATGTATATGTGTTTGTATGTCTCTGTGTGTGTGTGTATGCCATGAGTGTTCAGGAGCCTGAGGAAGCTAGAAGGGAGTGTCATATACCTGGGAGCAGGAGTTACAAGGGAGTGTGAGTTGCCTGGAACCAAACTTAGAATCTGTAAGGACAACATTATTGAGCCTTCTCTTCAGACCAGATACAAAACTTTTGGGGGTTCCTTTTGTATTTGCATAAAGATCAGTTATTGTTTGTTCTTTGTCCCCCTGAAGATGGGTGTATATTCCATTACTGGTACTCCTCTTCAGAAACCTATGTGGTTCATTTTATATAGAAAACCTTAGGGAAACTTTGAGATGGTGCCCGTAGATAGAAAGCTAGATTCCAGCCTATTTGGAAACACTCACACCTAAACAGCAGCTGACAGGCAGCATCGCGCAGCAGAAAAACCGAGGAACTTGTTCTCTAAGGACCTATGCTCAAGTTTCAGGACATTCACAAGCTAGCTATGACCTTGACCAGACACGTTGCTTCGGAGTCTATGCCTTTATCTGTATAGGCACAGCTGGTTCATCTTTTTTTGCAGCTGGCTAGCATGAACTGTGACTCTGAAAGTGTAAAGAGAAAGAGCTATCAGAAATGTGCACTGCTGGCGGATGAGCTAGCAATTTCACACTGCCATAATATAAGCTCCTGTATGCTGCACAGAAGGCAGCCAAGATGTGTGAGCAGGAAATGAGACACAGCCCTGAGCATCCCACATGGCTCATGGTCTTACTGGGGAGCCTGTAGGTGTTAATACTGAAAGCTTGTTCAAGGAAGTGCTTCCTGCGGATAATGGAGCTTGTAGGAGTCTTAAATGGGACCTCGAAGGATGAAATGTTAGTTCCCCACATTGACAAGGGTTTAAAGTATGTCAGGCAAAGGAAACAGCCTGGGCAAAGGTGAGGGTCTGAAACTAAATGGGATTATACGTGCAAAGCACGAGGTGCAATACAGAAGCATTCAACACACAGTGTCCACTGTCTTCATGAAGATAGTGATGCTGACTTCGAGATGCAGGGGGAATGGGACAAGGAGCAGAGATTAAACTGGAAAGGTGCACTGGTGAGAAGGGATGGAACTGTATGCTCCATTAAGGAATTTAGAAGTCATCAAAGTCATCCTTTTAACTAAAGAACCAACACAACCCTCCTTAGAAGGCTCAGGCCAGCGGGAGGATAATCTGGATGGAGTGATAGGCTTGGCCAGACCAGGAGAAAGGTTACAAATGGCAGCACTGCAGTATGTTCGATGCTGACCCAGAATGATGGTAATGGGGGGGGGGGGTGCATTCCAGATGCAGTAGCCATGTCTTCAGTACTGCTATTTTCCTCTTCCTGTCTTTCAGTTAGAAGATAATCAAATAACCAACCAGGCAAGCTTTTCTGAATCACTTTTTTTAAATACGTACCCTCGTGGCATTGGTAGAAGGGATCTTCAAGAGGCAAATCATGATTCTCAGACTGGAATCCAAAGAACACTGTAACAGATATAAGAAGGCGAGAGTCAGCTTCCTTCTCCATGTTTCCTTTGCTTCGAATATTCCCTGCATATATTTTGCAAAAAGAAGGATGTGGGATGTGGCACTGTCAGCAAAGGGCTTGTCACACAGGCATAAAGTCTCAGTTTTGCTCCCAGAACCCAAGTGAAAGAACGCGCTGAGCGTGGTGGCTGGTGCTTGTAATTTCAGTGCTAGAGCAGTGAAAGCAGGGGATCCCTGGGGCTCATTGGTCAGCCAGCCTGGCCAAGTCAGTGAGCTCTAGGCCAGCAAGAGAACCTGTCACCAAAACACAGTAGACACTGCCTGAGGAGTGACACCCAATGCTGACCCCTGGCCTCCACATGCACATATACTCACAGGGATTCATACACACGCCCATGCACACATGCAAACACAAATCTTACTGTAACTATCTCTATACTGTTTCCTATGTATATCAAAAACAATTGTTTTCAGATTTTAAATCTTTAATGAAGCAATTATGCAATATTAAAATAATTACTAGATAAATTAATTAAGTAAACATAGCTCTGAAACTATTTCCCAAAGATATAATGCCAGAATTAAATGATAGAGAAAGTTGATAAAGAACTGGATGGATGGATTGATGGGTGGTTGGATGGATGATGGATGGGCAGATAGGTAGATGGACAAGAGACTAGAGAGATGGACAGATAGACACAAAGGTTAAGAAGGCAGATGTTAAATGTATATCAGTCTAAAGAGGTATACTAAGGAAAAGTGATCCTGGGGGGGGGGGGAAACTAATAGAAATCATTAGTCCAAATAACCAGTTTCATCACCCTTCCTCTGGGATTTGTTTATTTTAATTTTTCACAAGGCTAGGGATTAAATTTGGCCTTGTGTATAGTAAGAAGGTGTTGTACCACTGAGCTAGGCCTCCCCAGTTCTGTAGGTGGGAATTCACTGTCCCTTTGTCATGAAAAGACATAAGCCAGAACCTGGAGACAAGCAGCAAAATTTCTCTCTAACATCCATACGGAGAGAAAAAACACACTTTCAAGAGTCTAGATCAAAACAGTGTTTGAAAGCCCCTGAGTTTTCAGGGTGGGGAGGAAACTGGCAGAGCATGAATAACAAGCTGTTGTTTACTATTGTGAGCACATCACTAAAGCCACAGCAGCTCTTACAGTGGACAATGGTCCCCTTCAACAAAGGATAAACCAAGCCAGAGCATCTCCTAGAGGATCCCTGGACCTGCAGCATGTCTGTCACCTGACCTCACACCCACAGTCACAGCCCTCTGTCACTAGCAGGGACAGTGGTGCACACTGAAGTCTGAGACCTCCTTCAGTGACACTTCCCAGAGACAAACTGCAAGATTGTCACTGGGGGATATTTCCTAAGAGATTAAAGACAAAACAGAATCAGTGTTCAGATCTGACGGAGTAGAGAACTTCGTTACACAAACCCTGGTGGTATTTCCTAAGAAGCTTCTAAAAGAACTTAGCCTGTTTAATATGCCAATGCCCTTCAGAATTGACATGACATTTACTTACTTTAAACCAGAAGCTGAAAACCAGCTGCTGATCAGGCCAAACCCTGGTGACTTAAAAACGAGGAAATGTCATCTTAGGGAAAAAAAAGCGGGAGAGGGGGAGGAGGGAGGTCCACATGCTGAGGTTGTTCCCCTGAAAGCACCACCAGCAGGAGTGGACCGTAGACTGCAGCCCTCGGCAGGAGCGGTGCATTAACACTGTCAAGGGCCTCCGCTCTCCTTATTAGCCTACCTGGCTCCACTCTACTCATTAACCTTTCGGCAGGTCCCCTGCGGGCACCGCTGATTGGCACACATTAGGCATGACCCTTGTTTACAGCGGCAGCACTCCCTGCTGGTCAGCAATTTCACTAGCGCATGGGAGCCCATGCTCCCGAATGTGTGTGGTTCATCAGCAAAGGTTGGTCCTGAACGACACTGGGCCTAAGGGGGACAGGTTAAAATATGTGTACATGTATGTGTGTGTGTTCCCAATCCTAGTGTTGATCCAAACTCTGGAAACTGTCCCACAGACTATCATTGTGGCCTTCCTTGAACATTACTTGAACACTATCCAAAAACACCACTTTAAATAATTCTGTAAAACTAACACTTCACCTATGTCTGGACTGCTGTTAGACAAAACTATTAATTTTCTTGCCTATTTGATATCCACTCGAGGAAAAAAACAGACAATCTAAGAACTGGAGTTCAGAGGAAGAATGTTACCTAGCATGCACAGGATGCTGAGTTCTAGCCCCCTTGCTAAAAACAAAAACAAAAACAAATTAAGAAAGAAAGGGAGGGAGAGAGGAAGACAGAAAGAAAAACACATAAGAGAACAGAGCATAGTCTATTGGCATCCTTTTATCCAACTGAAAACCATGTGGTCATGGGCAGCTCCATTCTCAGTGGATAAAATATCCACTCCACGCTGCTGACAACCTGTAACGTTGCAGACTGAGTGGCTCTCCACTCGCCTGAATAACTCTCTCCACTCTGGCTGACAGATTTCCACAGACCTTTGGGATCTATTGGATCACTTGACTGTGCTGGTCTCTGTAAGCGGATGGGCAGAAAGCAACGGAAGCTAAACACGTGGCTGAGCTCACCTTCAGAGGCAAAACACAAGGCAGCTTGGCAAAAAATGTCTGAAACTGGTTGCTGATTGTGGTCCAGAGGCTACTAGGAGAATCCATGGGCAGAGCTTCCATGAACGTGGCAATGTTTTCCAAACAGCGGATCATAGCACCCCCTGCTGGTAAATTCTTTTTGTTATTTAGACCCTAAAAACACAAAAGCATAGGCAATCAACTGCTGAAAGCAGCGGAGGAGTTCATAAAGCTATCTAGTGACGGCTTCTTTAGAAATCATACAGTCACACTATGAACATGCTAGACAGCCTGCTACACAGGCTGACCGTTCCAACAGGCAGGAGGAACACAGAAGAAAAACCAGCTATGTTTAGAAAAACCTCCAGGCGAAATTGGTGATCTTTAAGTCCAAGAGGTATAATCGGACCATGAAATAAGAACATGTAAAGCTACATATCTTGGGTGTAGATGCTCAGAAGACATGAACGATGCCTGCTGGGAAGAATCCTCCAGAGTAAAGACTGGAGCTACTGACAATAGCAGCAGCTGTGTTCTTCCTAGCTGCCGCGGGGAATGGTGAAGTCCTGGGGACTTTTCGGCGTTGCTCATAAAGACTTGGAGCCAACCCCAAGGTACAGCATAGCACCATGAAGTGGTTTATGGAGGACATAGGCGTGGTACATGACACTGGCTGAGACCTGGGGTACTCTACCTACCTCCAAGAGTTGACTGAGGGCAGCAATTGAGCTCAGCTCATTGAAGTCCATGAGCGATGTGGCTAAGGTCCGTAAAAAAGTTCCATCTATAAAGCAAATAGTTAGAATTAGCAGCATTTTCGGGGACTTGCCGGGCTTGCAGTGTCTGGGTTCTCGGGGGAGTGAGTTACCTTTGATGGCACTCTGGAACAGCTGGGGGAAGATGCCATTGGGTGCCAGCTGATGGAAGATACAGCGAAGGAACTGCTTGGCCACACCTGCTGCATTGCCGGGAACCATCATGCTGCATTCAAACACAGAAGAGAGACACGAGCTGTGGGCCAACGAGCATGTGCGTGCTGTGACCCAGAGTTTAGGCTTTGAACACCATGATTTTATGTAATATCTTGCCATTTCCCTCAGTGAGATGAAATTACCCATAGTCAAACCTAATAGTTTCATGGCAACTTTTTAGACAGATCCAGGAAGTGCCAAAGTTACAGCAGAATTATTCTAAATATAGCTGAGTATTCCAAAGCCAGTGACTTGAGAAGGCCGCATGTCCAGAAGGGGATGGACATCATCAGCGAGGACGCACTAAGGAAGGGTAATTGGTCAAGAGAGAGCTGCCCTGAGGGGAACACAGTAAGGGCTTCTTCACTTCTCTTGGGAGACCTTGGATGTTTGCTTCAAGTATCTGAGCTGTTACTTGTAAAGACTCGCTTAGGCAGGGCCTCCCTTCACCTACCATACACTCCCAAGAAACAAAAGGGAGTCAGGAGTTTTAAGTGCCTCTGCCTTGTAGACAAGACATTAGAGCGGATAGTTCCTGAGGTGTTTGGGGCGGGGAGTAGGTTGCCAGAAGGAAGAAATCAAAGATCCCAACTGGATGGAAAGGAAGTTGTCCCAAAGTATCTGCTACAGCCTCGAGATGCCAAATCCACCCCGAAATCTCGGTTCACAAAGGTTTATACCAAAAATGGCCTTTCAGGGAAACAAAACCCCCAAAAAACCAGAACCAGGAAACCTTTTGTTGTTTCATGAGGCTCCATAGCCCTAAAGCAATTATCTAAGTAAATAAATAAAAACAAAGAGGGAACAGAAAGAGAGAACACAGACCAGGATTCCTCTGAGCACTGAACCCAAATGTAGATTACAAGGATAAAACATCATGACCAAGTAGGGTTTATCCCTAAATATCAGAAAAATGTCACAATCAATGCAGTGACTGGGGAGAAGGAAGGAAGAGGACCAGAGTTCAGATCCTCTACAAGGGCACAGTGCCACCTATAACTCCAGCCTCAGAAGATGGAAATGGGGGATCCCCCAAGTGAGCAAGCTTTCTATCCAGACTAGCTGCACCAGCAAGCTCTGGGGGCTTGATGGAGAGACCCTGACTCAAAGTATAAAGTGGAAGAATGATCAAGGAAATTCCTGACCTTGTCAATGCTGGGCCTCCAAAAGCCAGTGCACACACAGTTGCACACATTACCCCCACATATACACACACTACACACATAAAAAAGAAGAGGAAAACCAACATAATTCAATACATTAAAGGAAAAACGATTTTAAAATAATTCAACATATTGGAAATAGAAGGAAACATCCTTAATTTTTTTAAAAAAAATACGTGTCTGTGAAAAAGCTATGGCTGACTATAAACAAATGGGAAGTTAAGGCAGGGAATAAACTAGAATGGCCACTGCCATGTCTCTGATCGGGCTGGCAGTTCCACCTGCTATGGGAAAGTAGCAAAGAGACAAAAATAACAGCGAGGAAATAGTAAAAGTCATTGTTTGCAGGTGATACACTGTTTGCCAAACAAAACAAAGCCCTAAGGCATCTAGGAAGGAACTTCTGAAATGGGTGAGTTCAGCTAGGATACAACCGTAATTCAGAGAAACCAATTTACCCACCAGAAAATTTTTGAAAATTATTTTCTTCAAAGTCCAATTTACATTGAAATTGAAAATATAAAATTCTTAGGGATAAATTTACACAGCATAGCCAAAGACTTACAAGAGCACTGCTCAACATTGCTTGGAGGCTGGGTTGACGACTCGGTCAGGACAGCACTTGCCTTACAAGGCCAAGGACCTGAGCCTAAATCCCAGAATCCTCGACACAGGGAAAGGTGCGGTAGTGTGCACATGGAATCCCAGCACTGGGGAGGTGAAAATGGGCTCCTGGGGGCTTGCAAACCAGGCAGTCTAGCCTGACTGGTGAGCTCTAGACCAATAAGAGACCTTGTCTCAAAGGAGCTTGATGGCGCTTGTAAGGATAACACCTAAGGATGCTTCCAGTCTCCATCCACACATGTGTGCATACACACCTACACATATACTTCAAAAACATAGCTGAGAGAAATTTAAAATGTAATGAAATGGAGATATATACATGTTCATTAGTTGGACAATCCAGCATTTTTTCTATGAGTAATTCCCAAATTGATGTACACTTTCAGTAAACATTTTTCTAAACAAGGCGAAGCTTGGGCATGGTGTGGGCATGGCGTGGGTGTGGCATGGGCTTGGTGTGGGCATGGTGTGGGCACGGCGTGGATGTGGTGTAGGTATGGTATAGGTGTTGTGTGGGCATGGTGTGGTACTGAAATGACATCTCAGCATTGGGGAGACAGAGGAAGGAGAATCACTATGAGTTTGAGGTCAGCCATCAAGACACTGTCCTGAAAAGCCAAAGAAAAGAAAGGAAGGAAGGAAGCAAGGAAGAAAGGAAAGAAAAAGAGGAACAAATTTGGAAATTAAAAAGACTAGATATCTAAACAAATCTAAAAAGAAAAGACACCAAGGAAGAGGAGCCCTGATACCCGATGCCAGGACTCACCACTGTAATCTTGACTTTGTGGCATGAAATCATTGGTTCTCAACCTTGGGTTTTGACCCCTTTGAGAATCAAATATCAGTTATCCTGCATACCAAATATTTACATTGTAATTCATAACTGCAGCAAAAACACAGTAGTTCAGAAGTAGTAATGAAATAATATTATGATTGGGAGGTCACCACAGCATGAGGCCGCAGCATTAGGAAGGTTGAGAACTACTGAGCTAGACCGAGGTTCAGTATAAAGACTATAGGAACCAGGTGGGAAGCCCAGATACCAGCTACCACATTGGTACCTGGAGTTTCTCACAGTGGGCTAATGAAGAAAGGAGTCTTTAAAACAAGAAGGTGCCGACATAGCTAAATATTGGATGTGAATAAAAAGAATGTCCCTACTGCAACCCAACACTGTATATAAAAATTAATTTTGATGGAACACATGAAGTGCTAAATATAAATGCTAAGGTCTTGAAGTGTTTGGAGGAAAAAGAGAACACACATGAGTTGGAAGCAGATGAGCTTTCTTAGCTGACCACTAAAAATCCATAACTACACACACTTTGAAGCTTGGATAAGTTAGAGTTCCTCTAAATTAAAAACTTGTCAGCAAATTATATCATCAAGAGAACGCCTGAGGAAGCTCGGCATGGGTAAAGATATTCTTCTAACATATTTATACTGAGAAGCCCTACAACTACAGAGTAGAAAGAAAACAGCATGTGAGAAAGATGGAAAAGATTATCTAAATAGACACTTCAGGAAAGAATATATAAAACAGTCAATCAACACTTGAAAAAATGTCAACAGGAAGATGCATATTAAACCTACAAAGACAGCCACCACATAGCCACCCCATCTGCTACAATTAATGATACCAACAATGTCAGAATCTGGCAAGGATGTGGGTCAGCCTGAAGTCTCACTGATGGTGGGAATATAAAATAATATAGTTATCTTACATAAGAGAAATAGCATAACCCTCACTTAATATTTAGTTTTACTTAGGTGCCTATGTGTGAGTATGAACACAAATGTCCAGATTCTTTCAGAGGTCAGCAAAAGGCATTGGGCCCTCCAGAACTGGAGGTACAGGCAGTTGTTAGCTGATCAACATGGGCGCTCTGTTGATCAGAGCAGGTCCTCTGGAAGAGCAGCAAGCACTCTTAACTGCTGAGCTATCTCTCCAGCCCCTAGCACGACCATTTTATAGACCATATTTATGTAAGAGAAGTTCTGATTTCTTATTTTAAAAATTCAAACATGCATGACTCATGTGACTCAACAATTCCATTTCCAAGAGAAATAAAGTACCAGATACCCTTGAATAGAAACCCAAATAAACCATGTGGTACATGGTGCATGGCCAGCTTTGACAAACAGACTAAGATACAAGCAACAGCATGAATAAACCTCAGAGCATGGCTACCTGCAGAAGGCAGACACGAAAGAGCACAGGCAACACAATGCACGCATGCAAAGCTCTACAGCAGGCAAACATTAATGAAGAAAATCGTGTTTCCTCCTATGAATGGAGCGCAGCTGGCATGGTGTGAGGTGAACCTTTCTGGGAATCATGGTTAAGTTCTGTGTCTTGACAGGGTCTCAGGTCTGTGGGCAAAGCCACCTGTCCAAACTCGGGGAACTTAGGGTTTATGTATTTTCTTCTGTGATTTTTACAACAGAAAAGCCACGCTGAAGTACTACATGATGTCTGTCAACAGGAGTGTATTATACACTTGAACCCTGCTAAGACAGAGGGTTTTAAAGGTTTTAAGGCAAAGCACGCTGGCCCCCGCTTTGTACCCTGTGTATTCAGTAAAAGCTGAACTCCCCACAGTGACCTCCATGGTGCTACCTGGCCTGGGTGCCGCTATCTTTTCCGTTTCATTTTCGGCCATGTTCTCTGAAGCCACATTGGCCTGTTTCCAAACTCACCATCCTTGTTCCAGACTTAAAGCCCTTGTCCTTGCTGTGTCCTCTGCCTGGGATATCCTCTCCATAAGCTGCCGCGTAGACTCCTCTCCCAACCTAGGCTTTGTTTAAATAGCCCTTCCTCCAAGAGACTGTCCTTGGTCATTATGCCTACACTGCCACTCCTGGCCTCCTCTATCAAGTGGAATTAAATAATCTTCCTAACACATCATTGTAAGAGATATTCAATAACACTGCCAATTTCTTACTAGTTAACTTGCTATTTTCTGCTTCTTCAACCCGAATGTAAGTTCCATGAAAAACAGGATTTGACATTTAACCACTCTCGCCAGCACGGGGTACTAACTCTGTAGATAGTCACTGAAGGGTCGACAACAGTGCAGGACAGGGAGAAGAAAGTAGGGTGCCCTGAACTCACTGGCTAGCCATGCTAGCCAGCTGGTGAGTGCTGGGTTCAATGACCTGTCTCAAAAGATAAAGTGGAGCATGTTGAGGAAGACGCTTGATATTGACCTCTGACCTCCACCCTCTCTGCATATACGTGCACACACGCAAAGGAATCAACACGTAATGAGTCAAAATTACATGAGTCTATTTTCTTCACAGAACTTAGCACAGTCACTACACATTTTCGTGAAGATTCATCCGTGCTTGCCGCCTTGGTGAGAAGGAAAACCTAACAAGGCCAGGAATTATATCAGTTGTTCCCTTTCAACAGAGTTGAAGAGGCCTGGGGTGCAGCTCTGCAGCAGAGCATTTTTCCAGAATGCTTGAGGCCCTTGGTTGGATTCCCAACGTAACAGACAACAAAAACTAATACACACACATGACAAAACAACAGCAACAGCCCGCTTAACTGGACTGGAGAGATGGCTCATTGGTTAAGAGCCTTGGCTGCTCTTCCAGGGTGCAATCCCCAGCACCCACATGGTGGCTCACAACCATCTAAAATAGGATCTGATGCCCTCTTGTGGCATGCAGGTATATATGCAGAGTACTCATACATAAAATATAAATAAATTAAATTTTAAAAAGCAAACCAATGAATTGGTACAAGTTGGGCTTAAAAGAGTGCTTGTTGACTGAAATGAGTCAATGTATAAATGCACTGATCTGATTAGAAACTAGCAGGGCCGCAGAGGAATAGCAGCTGTCTTCCTGGAGAGCACCCGCCCGTGGCCACTGTCAGACCCGTGTGGACATGCACAGAGAACAAAGAGAAACGAGACCCACTTGACGTTCCTACCTTTCTGCTTGATTAGAAAAGGTCGTGCTGGATGCGAGCCTAGGAAATAAAGTAAACAGTCACACAGTATCTTAGCTTTCTGTGGTGAAATGCGTTAGCACTAAGCTAGGCCTTTGGTTCAGGTTTGGACGGTGAGAAGACAGCTACTGACAATTCCTTTGGTGGGCGTCAGATGTCCACTCTCCCAAACCCGACTTCTGTGTCAGTCACAGATTGCCCTGGAAATGTATACAGGTAAGAGTTTACTGTCACCCGCCCAGCCTAAAAAATGGCAGTTGTATCCCGCTGGACGGACACCAGAACCAGTCATCTAGCAACCCCTGCGTTCACTCAAATTCATTTCTCCGTTACCGATCTCTGAAACCCAACTACAAGCAAACCACACATTGTAAACCCTCTAGCACAGCAGTAGAGACAGCAGAGGTGTCTCAGCTTGGTGCCAAGGGGGAGTGGTGGAAGAGAGATCTATCTTCTGGAGACACCATCACCGACCACATTTGGAAACTGCAGTGTGGCTCCTTAGCCATGGGCATGTGTCCTCTCAGGACAGAGAATGAAGCCGATTGGTGGATTCTAAAGGACATACTATAATCTGTAAGATACTGAAGACACCAGGAGAATGCTACCAACTTTCCATTTTAGTAGGACAGTTGAAGGGACCAAGAGTTTTGGAGAGAGATGGTGGCTCCAGAAACTGCCGTTGTAATATTGTCCTCAGCTGCCTCGGCTATAGGCCCTTATGCTGAAGATTCCATGATGGAGAAAGAAACATACATAAAATATGTATAAATGCACAAATCTGACTAGAAACTAGTTGGGTCACAGAGGAATAACAGCTGTCTTCCTGGATTCCTCAACTGAACAATAATCAAGGGTGTGGGAAACATGGCCTTAAAGGATTCACCTGAAAGCCGGAGGGATGAAGCCTGAAAGGGATCTGAGCAGACAGCTCTACAAGAGATAGGAAACGCTGACGGAGACATGAAAGGGCTGTGTGGAGCAGACTCCCAGGACATCCAGAGGTGGTCTGTGGAGTTGTCCCTGGTAGTGCTGATAAAGCCGCGATGGCTCATCTGGCATTCTTCACAGTGAAGCTGGGCATGTGAAGAAAGCTGCAGCTACGGAACCCGCTTCCTTGGCAGCTTCCTGGTCAAGATTAGGCTACCAAGAGTCACGCCCATTCGCACTCAATGTTTTTCAGTCTCTCGCTAGTCTACCTAAAGGAGCTAGGTAGTCAAGTGTAAGGATAAAGATGTCTAAGTGTCTGTACGTGGGAGGGTGGAAATGTGTGTGCTACTGTTTTCCTTCAAAGTTCCTGTTCCCACCCTAACCGTTGGTAGTATCTGGACCAGGATTATCTATACACAGCCTCCTCCTCCTCCTCGCTGTCCTCTGTGGCTCAGATCAGCTGTGCCAGGAGGGCAGCAGAGCCAAACCATGACTCCATCTGCTCTGTACCTACAGAGTGGTGAGAGTAGGAACTGAGGTCACAGAGATACAGGACACAGCACTTATTCTCTAGTTACCAAGGCTGAGTTAAAGTGATGGCTCGAATGAAGCTACCTTCCCATCTCTTCTAGTTCCCATATCCATCAAGTACTTTTTACAATGGCTTTGGAATTTTGGTTACACTTAACTTTATGCTGTCTCTAACTATGTAACTCTAAAGAAACTCCAAAAATAATCAGGGAGGTCTGAGTGGGGAGATGGCTCCGTGGGTAAGAGCACTTGTGCATGCATGAGGACCTGAGTTCAAATCCCCAGCACTCAGGTAGAGAAGTTGGGAGTGTTTGTATATGCTTGTAGCCCCCATGCTAGGATGTGGAGACACTCAGAATCCAGGGGCTCACTGTCAGTCAGCCTAGCATAATCAGCTTCCGGTTCAAGGAGAGACCCTGGCTCAAGGGACTAAGAAGAAGAGAAGCAAAGCACTCAAAGTCCTCTTGCTTCTGTATATGCAAATAGGTATGCCCACACACTCACACACACAATACACATACCATACACACATATACCACACTACACTCACATACAACATACCATACACACATATACCACACTACACTCACATACAACATACCATACACACATATACCACACTACACTCACATACAACATACCATACACACATATACCACACTACACTCACATACAACATACCATACACACATATACCACACTACACTCACATACAACATACCATACACACATATACCACACTACACTCACATACAACATACCATACACACATATACCACACTACATTCACATACAACATACCATACACACATATACCACACTACACTCACATACAACATACCATACACACATATATCACACTACACTCACATACAACATACCATATACACATATATCCCACTACACTCACATACAACATACCATACACACATATATCACACTACACTCACATACAACATACCATACACACATATATCCCACTACACTCACATACAACATACCATACACACATATATCCCACTACACTCACATACAACATACCATACACACATATACCACACTACACTCACATACAACATACCATACACACATATATCCCACTACACTCACATACAACATACCATACACACATATACCACACTACACTCACATACAACATACCATACACACATATATCCCACTACACTCACATACAGCATACCATACACACATATACCATACTACACTCACACATAGCATACACATTCCATGCCATAACATACACATGACTTGGGGCGGGGAACAAAGAACAGGATAATGTATTTTTTTTGTGGAGAAGTTTTCCAAGTTTCCCTGTTTAACTTGACCTCACAATTACTATTACTTCTGCGTATGTGTGTGAGTGTACATGAAGTATATGTGTGTGTGCACATACATGTAGACACAGAGGCCAGAGGAGGTTTCAGCATCCTGTTCTACTACTCTCTGTCTTCTTTCCTGGAGACAGAGTCCCTCGCTAACCCTGGAGCTCAGCTGGCCAAGACCCCCAGTGGTCCTTCTCCCTCAGTCTCCAGCAGTTCAGGGGCTACAGGCACTCACCCGTGAATGCCTGCCTTCTTATGTGATGCTGGGAACTTGAACTTTGGCATGCATCTTGCACAGCAAGTATCTTACCCACTGAGCCATCTGCACAGCCCCTGTTCTTATTATTTTTAAAGTTAAGATTAGCTATGTTAAGGCTAGTTCTCAGTAGGTGTGGTGGCACATGCCCACAATCCTAGCACTTTGGAGGCAGCATTGTTGGTTGAGGAAATACAGAAGGAAACCCTGCTAGAGGACAACCTATGCTATATAGTGGAATATATCAAAACCAAAACAAAGCAAAAACAACAACAAAACCTCACAAACCAAAAAGATTGTCTTTCCCTCCCTCAAACCCCGAGTGCCTGCAGATTTTGACTCCTCTAAACAATGGGAAGCGTTTCCACTTCAGGCTTCTCGAGGTTTAACCAAGCCCTGTCTTGTATCTTGTATGGCCACCCAATGATTTCACACAAAACTGTCCCTTTAAACAACCAAGTTACAGCCAGGCATGATGGCACATATCTCTAATCCCAGTAACTCAGGAGGCTGAGACTGGAAGACCACAAGGTCAAAGCCACCTGAGGTTACACAGCAAGTTCAAGGTCAACCTGGGCTGCATAGCAAGACCCTATCTAAAAAAAAAAAAAAAGAAAACAAACAAAAAGCTCCACAAATCACCTGGACACAGGTCTAAGTCTTGTTTTTTTATTTTTTGATCTTTAATTTTATTTTATGTATATGGTGTTATTCCTGCATATCCATCTGTTGACTGTGTGTGTGCAGCCCCATCAGAGGCCAGAAAAGGCCATCAGATCCCCTGGGGCTGGTGTTAATAGACAGTTGTGTGCTGCCATGTGGGTGCTGGGAATTGAACCTGAGTTCTCTGGAATAGCAGGCAGTGCTCTTTACTGAGAAACCATCTCTCCAGCCCCCGGAGCTAGGTCTTAACGGTGGTGGTTCAAGGCACCTAAGCAGTGTTGGCAGAGATCAGAACTCAGCAAGCTCATGCAGAACTTAACACAGTATCTGTGAGCTGCATTGTTATTACTGAGCTGGAATTTAGTCATGAGCACAGAACACATTCTAATGTCTATACATAAAGGGAATTCCTTTCATTATATAACACTCAGACTGAAGTCCTGCTCCCAAAACATGTGCTCACGCCCTTTATCTGACAGACCTGTGAAGATGCTGGATGACACACACTGATACCCTGAACTCAACAGTTAAATGAGGCCCCCTTGAGATCACAAAGAAGCGTGAGGTCACCACAAAACAGGTCATGAGAGAGAACAGGTGCTAACACAAAGCCTTCTAAGGATGGACCGTCTGGACACTATCACATATTAGCTCATACAGCAGTGGGAGCAACCGTCAGAACCTTTCCCGCAGCCTCCTCTAGCTTCTCTCTGACCTTGACTCATGACTGGGGTACAACTGGGAAATGAAATCAAAAGATGCTCTGTCCATTTTTTAAAAACTAGTCTATAATCAATCCCTTAGGCACCAGGCATCTCCAAGGTGACCGGATGTTCCGATTTTAGGATGCAGTTTTAAGGGAGGCCCCTTCCTAGCAGATAAACCAGAACCTAACATTCACCTTCCCACAGACTGCATGATATCCAGCAACAGCGGGGCTGCCAAGTCTGGGCTCAGGTGGATGAATGTGGAGAGGACCACGATGGCTAGTCCCAGGGTTTCTTCATCGTACTCTTCGAGAATGGCCCCACAGTCATGGCATCTGCAGAGGATACAGACAGAAGACATGTTAGAAAGCTAACACACAAACACAGCCATTTGTCAGAAGTCTTGGGAAAGGTCCCAAAGGTGGTAACTGGGCCCACTAATGCAAGTGGAGAATTCAGTGCCCTTGTCACCATAAAACATGGGAAGAGCTCGGGTGGCAGAGATCATGGGCGTTCCTTTGCTGTTCAGTCCACAGGCATCTGACCCTGCAGGGTCTCTGCTCCTTTAGAAAGGGCTTTGGGTAGACTGGCACCTTCCAGGACTTTAAGAAAGTGAAATTATGTCTAAGAATAGTCAGTAACTGGATTTTTGGATCAGTTTTTACTGTTTTACTTAAGTACAAATGAATGAGCATGTGAGCCATCTACTTGTTTGTCTTCACTGCCAATGTTCGGAAGCTCTGACAGTCAGCTGTGCTGCTGTTTCCGCGCTGGTCTTGAGCTCCTAGAGGAAACAATGAGTGATCCCAGCACAGCGAGAGTTGTTCTCATCCGGAGCTCTTCCAGATCCTGATGCTGTGGACCAGGAACCTCTGGAAGCCACTGGCAGGCATGTGCCTGGTTTTCCTGTCCTATAACCAATGCTGGGCATCAGGATCTGGCCCTTCAATCTTCTGACACCCTGCTGTCAGTACCTCTAGGTTTCTGTCAGCTGCACCTAACTTTAACCTAGTGTTCTGACTGCTACACAATGACCTTCAGGGTCCTCTATTTAAAGATCTTGTGCTTTATCAGATGCTTGAAGGCAGCCATGATGCCACATAGGAGAAGGAAGCCACCTCACCAAGAAAGGAGGAGGGGATTGCAGTAACTAGATTTATTTTCCTTTGTCAAAGTGAAAAATGTCCAGACAGGGCTAGAAGCTTTCAAAAGCTGTCCAGTGTGTGGGCAGGAGACGGAGGACTCAAGTAAACCCGGACACACCAGAAAGCCCATGCCTCTTCCCCTGCTCCCTTACACCCGCTTTGTGATTCTCTGGTCCTACTAAACTAATGCGGAAGAGCACTTTTAAGAAGCCCACAGCTTACTGCGCTTATCTGTGTCCTAATATAGGTTCCACTCAGCCCAACCAAAGGCAGCTTTAGAAAGTGAACTTGAGAACTAAAAATAACTCAGGAATCAGAGCTACAGTTACTGCGCCCTTCATCGGAAAGACTCCTAAACAGAAGCAAAAGAAGAGAGTGACTTAAAAGTTAATTTAACATTTACGATTCCCATTTGGAATCCCAGAGACAGAGACAGAGCCACAAAAGCAGCCAAAGGGCTAGGAGGTGGCTCAGTTGGTAAAGTGTTCACCACGGAAGCATGAAGACCTGAGGTTGAGTCCCAGTACCCAAGTAACAAAGCTGGGTCCGGTGACAAGCGCTTGCTAACCCAGCATGAGGGGGGCAGGGACGGCAGGATCTCTGGGGCTGACCTGCCAGCTGCCTACCCTCCTAAATGAGCCAGAGGCCAACGAGAGATTTTGTTTCAAACAACACAGTGAATGGCTCCCAAGTGCAGCTGAGGCTGACCTCTGACCTCCACACACATGCTCACACAAATGCATTTACACTAGAACACACAGGAAAATACACGAGCAACCAGAAGCAACTAATAAAAATGATAACTTGGGAGCAGGTTATGATACAAAATGGAGAAATTTTATCAAAGCTCTGGGGACATTCCAAGACAGTTTTACAAGCCAGGCACATTTGCCTCTCAAATGTGGCCACTGCGCTGGCTAGTTTTTATATCAACATGATACAAGCTAGGGTTGTCTGGGAAGAAGGAATCTTAACCGAGAAAGCACCTTTTTAGGCTCAGTCAGTGGGAAAGTCTGTGGGGGCATTTTCTTGACTGACGATTGACATGGGAGGGCCCAGCTCACTGAGGGCAGTGCCACCCCTGAGCAGGTGGTCTAGGGGTACAGAAAAAAGCAAGCTGAGACATTGATGGGGGAACAAGCCAGTAAGCAGCACTCTTCCATGGCCTCTGCATCAGTTCCTGCCTCCAGGTTCCTGCCTTGACTTCCCTAGATGATGGACTATAAGTTGGAAGATACCTTTGCTTTTGGTCACAGTGTTTAATCACAGCAGAGAAACCATAAGACAGTCACCAGCTCACTTCCAACTGCGCAATGAGACATCCCACGCGGATGTCTGCGCCATCCTTTCTACCTTGCCTGCCTTTATTAGATGTGAGCCACCTTTATCCAGGAGCCTGTCTAGTCCTGAGGGTCTGTTCAGGTTTGAAAATCTACAAGCCTTATTTAATTGTATCATACTCATTAAACAAATATTGGTGTGCCAGGGACGACATAGGGTGCTTAGGACACAGAATATAGAAGAAGTCCTTCTCATCCCAGGGAACTCAGTCTATTTTAGAACATACCTGTACTGTGTAGACAAAGAAATAACATAAGCTGTGACAAGTGCCGAAAAGACATGGACCAGAGGCCCCGGAAACTAGAGAAGGGAGTGACTATCCCGTTCCTCACAATCAGGGGCACTTTGCCTTCTGCTAGATCTTAAGTGTGCAAATAGATGTTCACCAGGAAGATCAAGTACCAAGAGAGAACACATCGGGAATGCTCTGGAATGAGAGGGGGCTGAGGGGAATGGCAGGGACAGTCACACACTAGGATGCCTTCAATTTAAACATGTGAGCCTCGTTCTGTAAGAACTCAGAGCTATTGCAACTGACAGTCTGGGTGTGATGAATCAGTTTGAGATATAGAGAATGGATTGTCCTTTCCAGATGAACACACACCTTTAATCCCAGTACTCGGGAGGCAGAGGTAAGCGATCTCTCTGAGTTCAAAGCCAGTCTGATCTGCAGAGTGCCAGACTAGCCAGGGTTATGCAGAGAAAACCCATCTAGAACCTCCTGCCCACCTGCCCCCCCCCCAAAAAAATGGAGTCTCTTCTTTGTTCCCAGTGTAACAATTGGACGTTTCTGGGCTGAAGATTTTATGGGTATTATATTATTTTTGAAGTAAGTGGGATTATCTAATTCTATCCAAATTAAAAGGGTGGAGGACCTGCCAAAGCATAAACAAAACACTGCTCATGGCATTTGCATTGCTAAATCACAACTGTGTACAACACAGCTGCAGCCTTGGAAAAGTAAAGTGTGTGACTTCAAAGCAAAGCGCGTTTCCTCACCAGGGACCAAACTCTAACTCTATAACCAAAGCAAAACACCGGGCACTCACTTGTCCGTCATCACCGTTGGCTGCTCATCCGTGAATTCCTCGGGTGCAGGCACGAACATACTGGCTATGCTGGGTGCTGACAGCAGGCTAGATTTAGTGGCACCTGGGTAAGCAGCAGAGAGACAACCATGAGTACAGACAAGCTTCTAGGGTCAGGAAACTCTCCACTCTGCATTCATTAACCCTCAAAAGATCACATTCATGAGATCATGCACATCCCACCCACGGCATAAAAAGGGCCCAAAAGTGAAGTGAGGCCAAGAAAGAGCCAAATACCCTGTCTCTCTTTTGCTGCGTGACTTTAAAAAATCAGGAAGTTCAGCTGGGTCAGCAGGGTCTAAGATAAAGATGGACTTCCTAGCATTAAGTGAAGTTGCTGAACAACATGATATTTCTAATGCACAAGTGCAGATCATCATTAAAGTGGGCTACTGCGGGAAGACAGTGAGACCCCAGACCTCACACACATGAACAAAGGGGAAGTGAGACCCCACACCTCACACACATGAACAAAGAGGGGTGAGACCCCACACCTCACACACATGAACAAAGAGGGGTGAGACCCCACACCTCACACACATGAACAAAGGGGGGGTGAGACCCCGCACCTCACACACATGAACAAAGGGGAGGTGAGACCCCGCACCTCACACACATGAACAAAGGGGAGGTGAGACCTCACACCTCACACACATGAACAAAGGGGAGGTGAGACCTCACACCTCACACACATGAACAAAGGGGAGGTGAGACCCCAGACCTCACACACATGAACAAAGGGGAGGTGAGACCCCAGACCTCACACACATGAACAAAGGGGGGGTGAGACCCCGCACCTCACACACATGAACAAAGGGGGGGTGAGACCCCACACCTCACACACATGAACAAAGGGGGACACTAGGGCTAGAAAACTAGTGTTCTGCTTTGAAAAAGATTATCATAAACACTAAAGTAGAAAGACTTCATCTTCAACTAAAGTATCCGTGAATACTGTGACTCTGTTTCACTTGGAACTTGCTCTACTTTACCCAATCAATGTAATAGTTTAAAAAGTTTGAAGTTAGATTACTTCAAAGAACCTGAGGCCAGAATCTTAGCAGCAAACACCAGTGAACAGAAAATGTGGGGCCTGGAAAGATGACTCAACAGTTAAGAGAGCTTTCTGATCTTCCAGAGGACCCAAGTTCTGTTCCCAGTGTTCACATTAAGGCAACTCATACCGTCTGTGACTCCAGCTTCAGGAGACCTGACAGGCTCCACTTCTGACCTCCATGGGCACCTGCATGTATGTAGGTACACACACACACACACACACACACACACACTACATCTCAAAACATAATGTGGAAAGACAGGAGTGTGTTTCCCATTAAGAAAGCCACCAGCGCGGGGCAGATGCCCTGGGCCTATGTAAATGAGGCGTCTAAGATGGCACCCAAAGTGACACTGTGAAATGACATGCTAAGCAGAGTTCTTCAAGTAGAAAAAAAGAAAGAAAGAAAAGAAGGAAGGAAGGAAGGAAGGAAGAAGGAAGAAAGGAAGGAAAGAAAGAAAGGAAAAAAGAAAGAAGCAGAATGAAGCGATGATCTTTAAATAATACGTTTCTCATCAAGAAACACACATAACTTGGTCTGGAAAAAATGCATGTCTTCTCCTCAGAAAGAATAACAACTGGGAGAATGGTCACTAAAGACATGAGAATGAGAACACAAGTTTTAGATGCCTAGCCTGGAGAACAACGCTGTCGTCTGAGGCGGAAATGGGGTTGAAGTTCTCGCTTCCACACTTCAGACCACCTACCCAGGTAATGTTTCCAAAGCGTATTTCTGAGCAGCAAAGACTTGCAAGCACAAGTACCAACTATCTAAAAATATCTTCACCTTCCTAAGATCCCAATTGGGAATACAAGTCTTGCTACCATATCTATCTATTGGCTGTTTCTGAGCCAGCATTACTTCCCAAGGATATCTGAGCTAACAAAGGATGCCCACAAAGATGTCGCACGGTGTCACAGACAAGTGCACAAAGCTTAAATACAATTCTCCACAGTTGATGATCATTGATAGGCATACAGCCAAATGTGAAAAAGATTATGTCAGAGCAGAACAAAATCAGTCCAAAAATATATGGCAATGTGTCCACAATCTCACCAGATCAGCTCCAAGTCAAGACTGCAACCAAAGGAACAAGAAGGGCTCTGGCATTTTTGTGGCTTTCAAACAAGCATTCCCTAAGAGGGGTGTTCTTACAGCAGCCCCATGATGTTGTTTTTGTCAAAGACAACACAGAAAGTATGTTGAAATATTTACAACAGCCATCTGTCAAAACAAACAGGTTAGGTGATTGGGCATTGATTCTTATAGGACATTAGCTGCACAGTGGATTGCTAAATCCTGCTATTGAAGTTGAAACAGGCAGTAATGTCTGAGAAGGTGAGAAATATAGAAAAGAAAGCCACAGACCTCAGCCACCTTTCTTTGTAAATGACCCACAGCCAAGTTGGCAGTGTTAAACTCAGCCTCCATTTTTGTCCCCCACTTACTGGCAGCAATTCTGAGCCCACCACCACTGATGCCTTCAAGAATATCCAGAGTCCCTCTGTACAGAACCAAACAGAGAGCACTCAGAAACTTGAATAAAATCCAAAGCCTGACCTCAAAGATGGAGACGCTGATAAGCGTCCCTTTTTGGATCTCAGAGACAGTAGAGGTACTATCTCAAAGCACACATCAGCCGTGCAGTTGCACAGTGCATCAGCCCCACAGCTGCACCAGCGGACTTTCCCACTCGCAGAGAGAGAGACCAGAAGACTTAGCATCACCTTCACGCGTTCACCTTTACTTTACGCTGTTTTTGCTAGGTCACTTAGATCACAACCAAGCACCAATGATTTGTTTCAACCACCCTGACTCACGAAAGCATCTCTTAGCCCCATAGACAAGTGTCTCATTTCATCTGATGGAAGACTAGAAGGCTACTCATTACCAGTGAAGTGTCCAGGAAGCTCCTAGTCTAGCAACTCAGGTCTGCTTGATTCAAGAGACTACTTAGAAAATGTGGTCAGAAATCTTTCCTTCCTTCTTTCTTTTCTTCCTTCCTTTATTCCCTTTCTTTCTCTCTCCCTTCTTTCTTTCTTTACTTATTTTTGCAAGCAATGATACATTTACCAGCATTCTGAATTTTAATAACGAAGATAAGGATTACCTAAATATGTAGTTAAATGTGTGCAATGAATTTGGAAAAGAAAAAAGTCCAATGACAGTGCAGATGCATGCTCATTTTGCTCCCACAGCCAGAATAAAGTGTGTGTTTTCCATACATAGTTCAAGACAGCTGGGAAAGAAGCTGCTCACCCACAGCCCCAACATTCTAGAAAAAAGTAAGGACAATCTGAACTCTGCTCAGGAAAAGAATATGGGATAACATGGAAAACTGATACATCTCGGGAGGAAGGCTGAAGAGCCCAGGGATACCTGGTCTTGAAACAGGGGCATTAGAAATGGGCAGTTGTTTTCAAATGTCCAAAGTGTGAGGTGAGAGACTCTAGAATTGTCTCGTGTGGCCCCAAGCTTTAGAAAGACACTCTATGGCAGAGCCTTTGTCGGTCATGGTCAGGGATGAGTTGTCATGCCTTCCCCAGTCCTGGAGGCGTTTTGCAGGTGGGAAATATGTGGAGCTGTTGAAGATGTTCTGCACCTGCTGTGTGGATCCATGAGGGACACATGGTCCTTCAGGTCTACAGTCTGAGACCCTGGAACCCCACCAACCTCTTGTTCTCAGCGGCTGTCCCTCCAGGTCGGGGTTTAGGCACATTGGCACGTTACATTGGCGTTTCCCGGGCTGTACCTGTTCTGTGGATAAAGAGGGCATTTCAGTCTTCAGTGTGGTCAGTTTAATATAAGTCACAGCACAGTCAAAGCACAAACAATGCAGCCAACTATTGCATGAGACCATCTTTGTCCTGGTTACTTTATTAACACAAAAAGACTAAATCTGGGGATAGGTAGTGTTATTCAAGCTTTGTTACAAACCTGTCACTCAGTTAAATAAACTACATCTGAAATGGTAGAAGATTTAAAACTATTTTTTAAGTTGTAGTCCCACTCTGTTTCAAAGGAGCTCAAATCCTGTGTCTCCAGATATGAAATGAAGGGCCAATGCCATGGACCATGGAAGAATGTTTTACGCAGGTCAACAAACACAACAATGATACTCCGGGGTAATGGCCAGACAGTTCACACAGGAACCACATGGACCAGGTAGAGAAGATGGCAGGGATTTGGCTGAAGGATGGAGAACAAGTATAAAGAGCAGGAACGAAGTGGCACTTAGGGAATATCCATTCACACAGAAGAGGTGCATGCTGGGAAAGAGGCAGACTGTCTATGAATGAGCAGGCACATGCTGAGGCGATTCATCACAACCTGGCTTAAGCTGTCTTCCTCAGAATAGCTACATGACCACAGCTGTTCTTGGTGGAAACTTGAGAGCCAATGAAGCAACACACGTGGTTCAAAGTGACATGTCACCTAACGTCATACTATGCATTCAGAGACTCTTCTGCTGGGCTCAGGTAATAAGCATGAGAATAATGAAGCCAGGTGCAACATAGACTCAACTGTAGAAGGCTGAGGCAAAAAGATCACTTGAGCCCAGAGGTTCATGGCCAGCCCGGGTAACAAAGTGAGATGGTGTCCAAAGCAAATAAAAAATTTAAAAACTTGAGAATAATGAGATAAAGATTTTACTAAGGGACTCAGAGATAAGTGAACCAATTGGAGGGTGGAAAATGAAAAAATAAGCCCCAGCAAGCTCCAGTGAAAGAAATCTGGACAACATGGACTCAAGCGTGAAGTCAAGAAGACAAGAACCACTAAGCCAGGTTGAAACGTGAAAAATGCGGCTACATGGACTATTTGGCATCACGGAGGGTTTTGTAGCTTCAAGTGCAGGTCAGAAACTGAGGTCAAGTTACATTTAACTCTACTTAGTCAAAGCGGGTTGTTGCTGTAGTCAGAATCTACAACGGCTGAGGCTGAGCCAAACACTGAGCTACAACAGCACAGTGAAATGACTTTCAGGGCCCCCAAGTCAACCCGAGCATTTAGTACCAAAGATGGAACTGAACTGTGCTTCTCTGGCTACACAGTTTCCTCTCTCAAGAGGGTGGCACAGTCCTCCATGGTACAAAGAGGGCAGACCATGTTAAAACCAAATACATCCTTGGGGATGGCTAGCCAGCGTCTCTCCCCTCTCTCTCCTGTTTGTTGCCTCTTGGCTTCTCATGGCTCACTCCTGCATGCCAGTGAATGAAAACACCAAGCCTTTGACATGCCAAATGCTCTTCTCAGTCCAGGAGACTGAGGTTGTCTGTTACACGGGGTTGAGTGTGGTATGTGGATCTCTTCTTGAAGAACAACAAAGGTTAATAGGAAGACGTATACAAACAATTTAAAAAACAGCCCAACATTTTGGCTGTAGGCACGCTGTGATTCCGCATCATAATGAAGAAATTAAAAATCATCTCACAATTGAAGCCAGAAAATAATAAGCAGGATACTAAAGTGCACTCCAGCAGCATGTTGCAGTAATCAGTCCTTATATTTGCATGGTGTATGCACACTTCAAGGTGCTTTTATGTTTATAATCTTGTGCCTCAAATGACCCATTTAAATTAAGAAGAAAAGACTAAGGAAAGACAGGCACTTAAAAGGGGATCACTGCGGTGCAGTGAGCTGAGAAGGCAGCAAATGTAGAAGATGTTTTAAGGTTCAGGAAATGAAAGCAGGCATATTTAAAATAGGTGTGCCACCGCAGTCAATTTTTACTGTACGACAGGTAAGGCGCAGTTCTGGCTTATGCACGTGAGGGTGTGTGGCCGCCACCTGGTGACCCTGCGGGCTAAAATACACAACTCATTCCCAAACCTGCGGATGATGCCATCACCAGCTGCCATTTGTCATCAAATCATCACTAACCTCAGTACTTCATACTCCATGAAAGAGAATTTGATAACCTCTTTTAAAACTTTGTACCATGAGATCATAGCTCCACCCCTCTTCCTCAGGCAGATAATCTGAAACCTGAAATCTGGATCTTAAAGGAATAAAGTATTGGGCTTTTCTAAACGGAGACCAGTCTAAACAGAGACGAGCCTAGGTGGGGATCAGCCTAGATGTAGGCTGCAATGTTCTAGAGCACTTAGAAAATCTGGATATGTGTTAATTACTTCCAGGTATTTAAAAAACACATCTATTTTAACCAAAGCACACAAGAAGTGGACAGAGAGAAAGTGGCATTAGCTAGTCTGAGAGCAAACAAGAAGAAAAGGCTTGACCCACCAGTGTCCCAGTTGCTGATGTTATGGGGGGCGCTAGACTGATGCTCCAGCTGTCGCTTCATTAACTGGCTCATTGTCACAACTCCCAGAGATCCCCTTTTCATCTGCCTATACTGAGCTATATGAAGGAAATTAGGAGATGATTACTGGGGGTAATAAGTTTCCCATCGCACACACAGGCTCTATACATCCACACAGATCTTAACTGATTCTTTCTTAGTTATTAGTAATTTTTGATTACTTCTAATCAAGTGAAAAACTTAAGCTTTTCATTGTTCCCAGCGTCTCTGTGGTACAGGCAATAGTAGCACTCCTTGGCATTGATCTATCAACTATACATATTTACTCGGTTACCAGTGAATGCAATGTGTTTATTTGTGTTTGGTTTTTTTTTTTTTACTACTTATGTGCTCTGCCACATTCTAAAAAGGATTTAAAACAAACAGTGCTACCTTGAATCTAATCAAAAGCAATTGATATAAGCCAAAACATTTATTTCAAAGTCTGTACTGTTTCCAAGCTGTTTGAGCCCCCTGTCTACTATTTGGAAAATTGAGAAAACAATGGTAATGTTTTTGTTCTTCAACAACAACATTCTCAGCAACAAAAAGTTGTAAGCTCTTCCAAACCAGAGAATAAAAAGCACACTGCCAGTTGTGTGCTAACTTAGAAAGCCACCCTCGCCTTTGCTCCTGTTTCCCCTGTGAGACACTCAGTGCTTAAGCACCAGCCCAATGTGAGCACTCAATCTCAACAAGATGGCCGTAGGCCCAACCCCCAAGTCCCCAGATGCTGACAACTTGGGTTCACCTGCCCAACTCACTTGAAAGGGCAAATTTAGAAGCCAAAGTTCATGAACTGCACACCCTAGGAAGGAATACAGAGACCAGGCTGTCCACTAAACAGCCCTGGACAACTCTGAATGCTATGTATAGATGTCGCAGCATCTATACATGCTATGTATAGACGAGGCAGCAGCAGGCATGCAGTGAGACCATTTATAACATCGTTTCTGGTGTAGTCAGCATGCTCTTTGACTTATGGTGGTCACAGCAGGTTTAGGTACAAAACAATCAACTGGCAACTTGAGCAAGAAAGGGATGTGATGGGATTCGTGTGTCTTGGAGCCCATATTCACTAAATTTGTGGAAACAGCTAACCAACTGAACAGCAAATGATTGGTTTATTGATTGGCAAACTTTATAAGTTTGCAACTCACTTCAAAAGTAAAGCTTTAAAAAATTACAAAAAGCAGAAATATTCAGGGTTTTGAACCCAGCGCCTTGCACATGTTAGGCAAGCGCCTTCTGACTGAACTATGCATCCAGCTTAAGAGAATCTGAAAGTATTTAAAAAAATAAGTGGCATCTTTCAGACTCAGCTGAGGATATGAGACCTCGAGTGTTCACATAATCTCCCAGTTCTTAGGTTTGTTTTGGTTTGCAGTACTGGGGATGGAACCCAGAGCCCCCGCAAGCCAGGCAAGGGCTCTACCAATGAACTACATTCCCAGTCTCTCAACTGATTCTAAAGACTGCAGAATTCCTGAGAGCAAAAACCCCAGTGGATGAGGTTTCTGGCATTCGCCTCCAAGAGCACACCACCAAATTCTATGATGAATGCTTTTCATGACAAGGGCAGGAAAGATGGAGACTAATGTGCTAACCTCTCCCCCAAAGTCCTAGCTCAGTTATGACTAGGAGATCCTGACCCCCTTGACACACTGGAATTAGAGCCATTTAACCATTCTGGCCATTTTAAATCATGCTATGTAGAGTTCTAAGGGGGAATGCAGAGTCTTTTTGTTTTTAAAGGTGACTCATACAAATAAAGAAGAGAAAATGATCAATTGCGATTTGTCAAGTTATCACATGTTCTTCATGATAAAAAATAAATAAAAATATTTAGCTTTAGAACTAGCCATTCTATTTTGCAACCAAAGGCAAAAATATCTGTTGCTTAGAAACTATTTTTTAAAAATTTACAGTCTTACAATTGATTTAGAATTATTCAGAGACTGTGTAACCACTAAAAATAATATTGACTTGCTTCGACCCCCATCACTTGGTGGCTCTGTGACATTAGGCCAGCCATTTAGCCTTTCTCCTTTGTCTGCCATGCAGTGCTCATGTAAGGAGTGGATCTCGATCATGCTGTGTATGACCCATTTGTCATGGTGGAGATATCAAATAAATACAGGAGGAAAATCAAATAAATGATATCTAGGACCACCATTAAGACTGTACTAATTCCTCCCTGAGGAAATGGGGGTCTTATTTATTCACTTGTGATCCACAATAACAAGCACAATGCCTGGCCCCCACCAGATACCCATGGAATAATGGATGAATAATGAATGAAAGAATGCACAAAGGTTTAAATGGTGACAATGATTCCTTTCCATACAACCAGACCAGCATTTACATTAAGATCTATATCTGGCTATCTGGCTTTTCAAAGCATCTGCCTTTCAACAGATGGTCCACAAATACTCAGTAACCCTTCAGGCAGCATATGGAACACAAATTTATCAGAGGTGAGAGAAAGAGCTCCAGAAAGTACACTTCTGTCTGGGTCACTGATTCCTCCCAAGAATGTCTCTTTGCTGAGCATCTCCTGACACCACTGAGCTGAGCAAACACCTTGATAGTACAGCAATGGAACTCACGTTTCTCATGATCAAAACCTAGCACCCAATAGCAGGGGGAAGTTTCAAAATACCTCATATAGGCTTTATAATGTGTTGGGCCATTTTTATTTTTCAGCCTAAAAAGAGCAGATTTAGTTGTGCCTATTGGGTCCTGAGACATTTATCTTGGATAACTCAGACAAAGCTGTGTCCAGGATGGAAGGTGACTCAGATGAAACCAATGAGTCCCAAGGAAGATTCTGTCATGATCAAAGCTTTGCCTGTGTCACATGAGCTCTGTGTTCTATGCTCAGGTTAGAAGTGATGTTTACTTTGTTGAATGATGTAATTTTGTATTTCTTCTTTAATAAATTAGGGTTCTTGGACAATCCGTGCCCATATGATGAATCCAATGTTTGCTGTATGGGCTACAGCAGGCCATCTACCCTCACGAGTTTCACAGAACACACAACACTGTGTCACTGAGGAAGCTAAGGCAGCATTTTTGTTTAAGTAGGAGGGCTAGCAAAATGGAAAGCAATGTGTATAGATCATGTCCCCAAAGTGACACACACAGAAACCGTCACTGAGAAACACTTACTTGATATTGACGAGTGGCTGCCTGTTTCGGGGGCACCTGCTTCTAATGTAGGGGCAGATGAAGATTCCCGTGGCATTTCCAATGTTGAAAGTCCTTTAGCAGACGGATCTACAAATGGAAATACTGTTTAAAGTTAAGGACAGTGGTGGAAAGTAATTGAAGAGCCTTCCCGGGTCTTTCCCCCTCTTATCTACCATGCCCGTTCAAATCTTTCGGCACTTTCTGCCTCTAGCGATTACCTTAGAGGGATTACATACATTCTACATCCCTTTCTGCACGTGCTGCTATGTCCCTAGGAGAATGAAGCTTGCATAGATGCAAAGCTAACGCTCAAAACATCCATGGTGCTAATTCTGAACCAGGAACTTCGTTGCTCTGTATTTGTTGCTTTTCATTTAATACCTACCAAGAGGTCAATATCCCATTCACCTATCTCAGCTTTTGTCTGAATGTTTCCTATTCTTCATTTACATCTCAATTTTCAGTAGATTTCACATCTAAGGAGGTTTCCAGGACGCTGTTTCCCTTCAAAACACTGGGTCAGGTGACCCTCTTATGGAGCAATTGACCTTAAAAATTTCCCAAACTTATCGCACTGTAAGGCTGTTACTTATTTGCCTATAAGAGTTACTAAGCTGGAAGCAATTTAAGAGCAGGACCTGTGTCTGCTAAGAAATAAATTGTCCTAAATGAGACTCTCAGTTTCTCTAGAGCAGTGGTTCTCAACCTTTCTAATGCTGTAACCGTTTAATACAGTTCCTCAGGTTATGGTGATCCCCAACCATAAAATTATTTCATTGCAGGGCTGGAGAGATGGCTCAGTGGTTAAGAGCATTGCCTGCTCTTCCAAAGGTCCTGAGTTCAATTCCCAGCAACCACATGGTGGCTCACAACCATCTGTAAAGAGGTCTGGCGCCCTCTTCTGGCCTTCAGGCATACAGACAGAATATTGTATACATAATAAATAAATAAATAAATATTTAAAAAAAATTATTTCATTGCAGAAGAGGAGTGGATATGGGGCACAGGAGAGGTGAGGAAGAAAGACTGGGAGGAGAGAAGGGAAGAGAAACTGCAGCTGCGATGTAACATATGAAAGGAGAATAAAGAAAAAGAAAACATTATTTTGTTGATAGTTCATAACCATAATTTGCTTCTGTTATGAATGGTAACGTAAATATCTGATATGCAGGATGTCTGATACACACAAAGGGATTGTGACTCACAGGTTGAGAACCACTGCACGACCTCTGTTTTGTTTACTTCTATTTTATAAATGTCCTTTTCAATGTGATGTATGTTATGCATATAATATTGTCTCATTAATCTATCAACACTGGGAAGTAAGCCCTTCTATGGCATTCGAGATGACTGCACAGTAACCTCAACATTTCTGAGAGGGTTTTCATGTCGAACCTACAATTCTGTACAGCAGCACTGGGCAAAGAACACACTGAGCCTCTGGATGGCTCGGAGTTGCCAATGTGGGTTTCCATGACTGCACCGTGCTGTGAGTGAGAGGCAGCCATATTAAGTGGCTTCAAGCTCTTAAACTCAAAATGTACCATCTCATCTTTTTCATAATGCCAACTGCTTCTTGCCACAGAGCAATCTATATTTTATAATTAATGTCTGTGTCTCCAACACTAGATGGCATCAAACCTGTTAAGGCATCAGATACAAAAGGTCCCAGAACAGAGACTGGGACAAAGTTTCGGGAAAATGGCTTTGGAACATTGACTTTTCAGTTTTTGAGGTTTTTCTTATACATAGATATGGTTGCCATATTAATAACTTTGTGTGTGTTCTGTATGTACATGTTCACGAGGATGTTTGTAGGTGTGCCGGAGTTTGATGCTGAGTATTCCTTGCTCACTCTCTACATGTTTTCTCTCACTGAACCTGAAACTCGTAGATTCACAAAGCTGGCTGACTAATGAGTTGCAGGGATCTGTCTGTCTATGCCCCACACTGCCCTGACCCCCAAACAGTAGGGCCACGGGCAGTGCACTGACTTTCTTGACGCATGCACGGCTGCTAGTTATCCAAACTCATTCCTCATGCCTGCTTGACATGCAGTTTGTCAACTGAGTCAAATCACCACTAAGAACTTCGGGTTTTCTTTCTGTAGATTTCTTTATTTGGTGTGTGCATGCATGCGTGTGTGCATGCATGTGTGTGTACAGGTACCTCCAGAGGTCAGGAGAGGGTACTGGATCCCCTGGCTGGTGCTGGAGTCCCCCAAGAGCTGGGATCCACACTCAGGTCCTCTCTATGAGCAGTACACACTCTCACCGCTGAGCCGCTGCTCCAGCACCTCCCCCCAGTAACTTTATGGTAACAAAACAGCATTAATTGCCATACAGTTTCCCAAACACTCCTGACAGTGAGTAACCATTTGAAGTCACTTTGGTCACCAAGATAAAAATGTTAGGTATTGTTTTTCTATAGTGCAAAATGAGAAAGGTTACATAAGTGCCTCTCTTGCCCTATTGGCCTGCCTTCTCTGTGTGCTACAGCCATGGATTGTGGTCCGCCAATAATATGAAATGAGGAAAATGAAATTAATCTTCAAGAATCCACTGGAAGTTCATTGTGACATTTTAGGTTTTGGGTGTGTGCCCTGAGTCTTTGCTGTACTTTTAACCTTTAAGAAACAGTACTGGATGACAGTTACTGATGTCCTAGTCTGCACAAATCCTTTAGACTAGGCCATCTTTCCTTAGTTCTCAATCATTTTTTGAAGCTTCTCATCTATATACAATTTAAAGCTAGCATTTGAAAAGAGCTGTACACTTATTTTCAACACATCTGCTCTCAGTTTTCTAGAGTCGTGTGCAGAAGAGTCAGTGACTCCATCTAGTCACATGTACCAGTGCTCTCTTAGTCTCTTTAGATATAATCAGAAAACAAGCAAAACAAAAATACTGCATTGATGTAGGAAGTCCTTCTGTATATGTGTTGCTTTTGTTGGTTAATGAATAAAGAAACTGCTTTGGCCTGTGATAGGGCAGAGTGGAGCTAGGCGGGAAATGTAAACTGGATGCTGGGAGAAAGAAGGCGGAGTCAGTGAGACATCATGTAGCCACCACAGGACACAAACACACAGGAACCTTGCCAGCAAGCCACAAGCCTCATGGTAAAATATTAAATAACAGAAATGGGTTAATTTAAGATGTAAGAGCTAGCTAAAATATGCTTAAGCTATTGGTCAAACAGTATTGCAATTAATATAGTTTTGTGTATTTATTTCAGGTCTGGGCAGCCGGGAACAAAGGAGCAGCCTCTGCCCTACACTGCATCACAGAACTTTGATTTCATTTGATAGGGTGAGACATGTGTAAAAGTGAATAAATTTTTCTATGTTGAGGTAACAGTAGAGACAGGAAAGAGAAGCAGATGCCAGCTGGGGGATTTGCGTGGCTAAGCTCAGGGCAGGCATCATTGGTGTGAGCAGATGAGAAAGTACATCAAGCAAGTATTGGGGCACTTAAGCCTTGGAGAACAGCAGGTTGAGGCCCTAAGCTAAGAGAGCGTAGGGGGTAGCCAAGAAATGGCAAGAGGCCAGTGTGGCCATGTGGAGTTTGTGGAGAAAGCAATGAAAATGAAGGGAGAGGACTGATGTGGGATTTCCTTCTATATGCTGTGATTACCATTAATGAATAAAGAAATTGTCTTTAAGAAGTTGATAGGGCAGAACTTAGGTAGGGCAGAACTAAATGGCATGCTGGGAGAAAGGAGGCAGAGTCAGAGAGAAGTCATGTAGCCCCACTGGAGCTGGACAGAACTTTATCCAGAAAGCCACAGCCTCATGGTGATACACAGATTAATTAATTAAATTAAGATATAAAAGTTAGCCAATAAGAAGCTAGAGCTAATGGGCCAAACAGTGTTTTAAATAATATAGTTTCTGTGTGATTATTTCGGGGCTAAGCAGCTGGGAACCAACAAGTGGTCCCTTCCCTCCAACAAATTGGAACCAACGTGGTTGACTAAATTTGCGTAAAACCCGAGAGCACTTAAAAAGGAATCCTAGACACAAAAGAACAGAGTTAAGCATGGTTTGGTAGCATCATTTTCTTGGATGGGCTTTGTTTGCTAGAAGCAAGCAGAGGCATGGCTCCTTTAATAGAGGTTTTCCTGATTCAGCCAAAGCAGAAAAATAAGGCATGGTTTTGAAATGCTGGCTTTCTGAGCTGTGCAGCCAGCGCAAACTCAGACGAGGTCTGGCTATCAAGCATTTAAGTGAGTTTTGTGAGCAGAGTGCTCAACTGCTTATTGGCTTGACAAAGACCCGCTGTATACTTGGAACTGGGGTGGTGTGCACAACTTGCAGAGGCAGTGGCTCGACATAGACCCGCTGCATACTTGGAACTGGGGCAATATGCACGGCTTTCAGAAGTGGTGAACGGACCTCTTCCACCATGTTGGACTGGCAAAACAAGCAGGCGAGGCCATATTTGACCTAGTAATGGTGCACCTTAAGTTCATAAGAAAAGTTTAGCATTTTAACAAGTGCTTCTGGACAGTAACAAATTACAGATGCACAACAGGACAGATTCAGACATAAACGAGACACAATGTTTAAAAGAAAATGTACACGGGCTTGGGAGAGAGAAGAAAAAGAGTAAAGAGACAGTAAATGTAATATAAAAGAGTACAGACAGTAATAGATTAAAGGAGTAAAGATAATAAAATAAATATTAAAAAGTAATAGAGAAAGAATAATAAACCACATGACAATGGAAAATTCGCAGAGAGTCTGGATTATGTATACTATTGTGTTTCTTTGAATTTTTTGACTGTGAAGGAGCTAAGTACAGAGAGACATTTCATTGTATGGACTTCTAAAGTATATTATAAAAGTATCTTGACTTTAGAATTTGGGTCTAAGGATATGTTGCTTTGGAAAAGAGGTTTTTCCTTTGTTTCCACAGAGTATGGGAACCTGTGGAATCCTTCCAGATTAATGTGGTTTGATGGACCAAAACCCCCTGAAAAGCCTTGAACACCTCTCAAAAATTACTTCTCCCAATAAACAGCAGGAAGAAGTTTAGACAGATCTATGCCCATATTCCCAAATATTGTCTATAAATGTTTGTTTACAA